TCGAAAATTTAAACACTAATTATTGATCTTATCTATCACAAGTTTCTCATTTTTACGTAAATGGTAGACTAATAAAAACTGTGGAAAGCAAAAAGTCTGGAGAATAAAACTAACGTGGGATTTCAATGGAAACATTTAAAAAAAAACGTCGACTTGGAGAAAAACCATTTTACTGTAAAAAAAAAGAATAGTCATGATGAAAAATAATATACTTTAATGGAACCAGAAAAAGCATGTGTGAAAATGTTACTTAACATTAGTCTTATTATTATTATTACTATTATTTCAGTTGTATATATACAGAGACACTTGGGAGTTATTGTTTTCTATGCTGAATGCTTAACTTTTTTCCTCCTTTGCAAAATATTATTTTATCCCTAAAAAAGAAGCACCTAGACTAATAAGTTTATCAGTAGGTTGAATAATTTCATCCCTAGATTAAAAACTGCAAAGGATTATTATTAACTGATCAGCTAGACTAGGGAATTAAACATTATAACTAGATTATTTAATGAGCTTGCCAATAACTGCTTCATTTTCTCACTTTAGTCCTGGTAACGCTAAAGACCAGTGGCTTGAGATCGTTGGTGACATGGCTTAAAATCGTTCTCGACGTCATAGATGTATTCATTCTTTATAAACTCCTAGATTTGTCAGATTATCATTATTTTATATACCTTTGTCATGCGACAGACCATTAGTGAGGAGCGAGAAGACTTGGAAACGTTGGGCCGACAAGAAGATTCTAGAATGTTTGGACTTCGCCGAGGATTTACGTCTAGGGTCACACAGACTCAAAGACTTACGGGCGAAAACGAACAAGTTAGGAGGGAAGATAGGCAGCAGCAAGAGTACTTCAAGTGAACATAGAGAAGACAGAGGCGATGAAGATAAACAACAATAAGCACTAATCACCATCAGTGTAAGAAATCTGAAAGAGATTACTGCTTCATTTATTTAGGTAGTATCGTTCCAACTACAGGCAAATGGCACAGATAAAGATTTTAAGGGTAGTCAGAATCGGAAGGACAAAGCAGATCATCATCAGTCTGAGGATGTGCTTCACTCAGCACAAAGAACAAAATTGAGATTTCTAACATTAATATCAAGTCAGTCAATTCTATATGGATCTCCATTTGGAAGATCAGGTGTCCAGCCAGAAAGCGTTAGCAACAAGGAACTCTGGTAGATGATGAACGAATCAAGAACCTATTGCTCAACAAAGATGTCAAAAAGGATGGGGATGGATTGGACACATGCTGAAGAGACCGTTGGATAGCATCGCGCTCCATGCACTCCCTCGAGTGTAACCCCAATCGGAAACGATGGGTTGTTCGGAGACAGTCCAAGGTTGATATGGAGGAGATCAAGTGAGGAGGAGATGACGGCTTCTGGACGATCATGGTGGTGGCTATAAAGAGTTTTTCAGGGAAGAAAATAAAGTCGGGATGTATTGTTGAAGTCTTATATTTCACTCGGAACCTAAGGGGACAATATTAATAAGAGAGCTCATGAGCTGTTGGATTTCCTTACAATAGCTGAATGGCCACCGAGCTCACCTTGTATGCTAAATGTTGTGGATCCGATCCCTGCTGGGGTCATGGGTACATACTGATGAAGAGTCGCTCAACTAGGATGAAACAACTATCTCGTACTCCCTAGTCTTCGGAGGTTCTCTAACCGAAGTCAATTCATGATCGAAATTGACAATAATAAGCTTAGGATATTATAAAACAGCTTTTATATTTACTGCCGAAAAAAGAAATTGAATTATTCAATTGTAGCAAGCAAACAAATGCCAAACGACAGAATAAAAACATTTAGGCAAAAAACAGAAAATAACATGTACATACCTTATTTCTGTAGGTAATTAACTGAAGGGTAGTCACAAGGATTAACAAATAATGGTTCTCATCTTGTTTTTTTTTCAGGTTCTATTCTCATTAACCTAATTATTATTTCATTTAATCTAATTAAAGACACCTCATTTATTGTTAAGCTACTTACTCAATTGTAGATAAACAAATTGAAGAATTATAATAATATTAATGATAATAAGGAGAAATTACTTTTCCTTACTTAATTCATTCAGATAAACAAAGCAACATTGGACATTATTCTCTTACAATTAGATTTTCTTTATCATTATTATTATTATCATAGAGAAACAGTTAAACAGTCAATTTGAAAATCAACAAATTGAACTTGACTCTTTCCTTCTCTCTTTTGTAATACAGATTAATCAACTTAAAAGATTTATTTATTTATTTATTTTATTACTTGTTTTTATGTTGAGCAAACAAAAAAATAAAACAAAATGCTTAATAATATCTGCTAACATTGAGCATTGAACCGACTTCTGTTCAATTTTGTATTTTCGCGCTCTAATTTCTAACTTACTTAAGTTTTTTCTAGTTTTTTTTATTTCTTAATTTATGCTTTTATTATGACGACTGATTAGAGGACATAGATAACATCATGATAAACTGTATTTATCCTATTTTTAATATGTAGAAGCTTTCTGGTAATTATAACAAATGTTTGTGCGTTATTAGCCTATTGGGATTAAAGACGATCACATATTTCTTGTTCGTCCTCTTCTGTAGTTGTCGACATTGTGCATCAATAAAGGAAAATCTAAGAGCTTCTCAGCTAGTTTTCACAAAGTTATGAGCTCACTGTCACTTTGCCTCTCTCAGTAGGAGATTTAATATAATACAGATTTCACTGTTTGTCTAAGTATTGTCACCGTTCAAAAACAGAAAATCATAATGAATGCCTTGTTAAAAATAATAGTTAATTTTTTTCTTTGAGTTAATGTGTAGGGATTTGACACCTTTCCGAAATTGATCACGGATTAATGTTAGCCAGAGAACCAATAAAAGCCAGCAGGGAGTACTGGATAGCTGTCCTACTCAAATAGTTCCGGAGTCTTCAGTAGTGACTTAGATTTGTGTTAGAAGAAATACTCACCAATGACACTGGCTAGTTGTCAAGCTAAAATCATGAGTTGATAGAAGTTGGAATTTATAGATCACTAGATAGGGATCCCAGTGGCTGAATGATTAACGAGTTTGCCTTGTAAATGGAAGGTCTTGGGTTCAGACCTCAATGGAAGCGTACTGATAAGGAGCCCTAAATCAGAGTGAAACAACTTTCCAGTACTCCCTAGTTTTAAATAGTTCTCTAACTAGTATCAATCCTTGATCAAACTAGAGATAATGGTATGTTGGTTATTAAGGAATTATTCTTAATATTTCATAATTCACTCAGACTACACACAAGTCATCCTAGAAATTTAATTATCCCACTGAGTGAAATCACATTTCAGGTAGTGTCCCAAGTGGAACCTGAATGGGAAACGATGAGTTGGGTGTTGATCCAACAGTGACATTCAGGACAACATGTAAGGACAAAACGAAAGTCAACGGTCAATTGGAGTGCCAGTTGAAAAAGACTTCAGGAAACAGGATAATATGGAGATGTGCTACTAAAGCCCTATGTTCCACTTGGAATCCAAGGGAATAATAACAAAAATAAATAATGATATTCTCAAATATTTCTCTTCTGAAGTAGTAGCAAAAAATCTACAAAGCTAGAGAAAAGTAGTAATGGTTTGAGTTTATTCAAGTATTATTTTCTAACAGCAACTTTGGTAGCCAAGCTTCATTAGAAAAAAACAAAACAAAAACGTAAGCTTCTTATTTAAGTAGCTTGTAGGATAGTTTTATGAATTCTGTTTTGAAATCAACTGCTATTGAATTGTAGGTGAATATTCAGATGGTGAGTTTGTGTGACTTTGATTTCTGTCAATGTAGGTTTTGATAAGAACTGGTATCACTCATACCACCGTTGGGAAATAGATGTCATTACCGATCTGCATATTATTATTATCATTATTCGCTCAGATTCCGAGTGGAGTATAGGGCTACAACAGCGCACCTCGATTTCATCCTGTTCTCTGAAGTCATTTTCCGTTGGCAGCAAGATTGACAGTAGGTTTTCATTTCCCCGTCACACGATTTCCTCCTTATCAATCGTAGACGTACACCCAAATCGTCGCTTCGCATTTGGGTTCCATTTGAAGGGCTGGCCGGTGAGTAGTGTCACTCATTGTCCAATGTCCCCGGCATATTCATTGGGCGACAGAATCTTGAAAATTTCGTTTTTTGCAAGAGTTTCTTGTTGCAGATTCTTTCTGGCAGGCCATCTGATGTTCATTGTGAAACCAGCGAAAGAAACTGTCGATAAAACTATGCAGTAGCCTGTTCAAAATGCTTTCCGTGACACGCTTAGAATGTCTCTGAAACATATAGAAACCATAACTGACTTGATATTAGTGTTAAAAATCAGAATCGCGTCCTTTATACTGAGTACAGAAGATTTCCAGATTGATTCCAGACTGATGAACGTTTGTTGTTTGGCGTTCCAATCCCTACTGCCATTTAACATTTTCGTCTAATCTGCATGTAGTTTGAACGATTCTGCTGCCAAGACAAGTGAAAAAGTGACCTCGTTCAAATTTCTCTTATTGATAGGGATTGATGCTTGCTGTTGTTGATTGGTTATCTTCATCGCCTCTGTCTTCCCTGTGTTTACTCTTCACTGAATGTCTCTCATCACCACTTATTGGTTTTCCTCTGTGGATCCTCGATTTTATGTGACATTAGAGATAAATCGAATACGAAGTCCGAGTCTTCTATAACATGCTTGTCAGCCAATCGTAATCCTGTCTTCTCGCTCACCATGATCCAATCCACTACAATTAGGCAAATCATCAGTGATAGTAAGCAGTTGTATTTCGAGGATAATCATTTATTTATTGATCAATCTCAGATTGATTAATAATCATACTGTTACTGTTTGTTACAGTAATAGACAGTTTTGCCATGACTTTATTTTACAAGTTCATATTTGCCTGTATTTACTTGTAATAGTAGTCGTCAGACTGTTTATTTACATGATCCTTATTTAATCATCTCTTTTTACATACCTTTTAGAAATACTCATCAGCATCAAATTCAAATGGTATAAACAAGCCAATTAATTCAGCAGTACTCTCCTCGGCATCAACAGCAACTCTGTCTTCGTCTCACTCTTCCTTAGCATCAATATCAAACAATATCAAATCGACTTGTTTAAAAGCATGTTATACAGCTCAAAAAGTCTACAGTCGATCAGATCAACTACAGAACAGTCCCGGCAATGCATACTGTCCTAAGCTAGACACTTGGCCTGAATCATGTCAATATACTTGTCAAAATGACTCAGACTGTTTACCCTATGGATATACAAAGTGTTGTCAAACAACAAAGTGTTTTAAAATCTCTCAGCATAAAAGATTAATAAATCATACAAAAAATGTTACAAAATTTAGTGTATGCAGTCAAGGTGTTTATAATCCTAAAGGTGAGTGTTACCATGACACTAACTAATATTGTTGTGTATTAACAAAACATTTATGCTTTAATGACATTTTTTCTGTTATATGTGACAAGTATGAATGTAAAATAAATTTATATTTTTTTTTAATATGCTGATTAATGAATAAGGAATATTCTTTTCGGACAAATTAGTCATCAGATTCTACATTTTTATGACAGCAATAATTAGACACTTGTGGTTGTTAGCACTATTAGCGCTGTTTTAAATAACATTGAATCAATAGTATCGACAGGTGATTACATTTCAAAAGCATCAGTAATAGAGAGAGAGATAATACGCATTAATATAACACTAAACAGACTGAATATCAGATAAATGAAGGGAAGTAACACAGAATTTAGGGATTTATAGGTTCGACACCTCAAGCTCATTCAACAGCTGTACGTCAGCGGCACATGTCAAGTGATCCACAACGGAAAACTCAGCGAAGCGTTTAGAGTAAACACAGGAGTCAGAAAAGGGTGCTTATTATCACCAATCATATTCCAAATTGTGGTGGACTGGATTATGCGTCCGACAGTGGGAAACGAGAAGACAGGGATATCGTAGATCGATGTGAAGAACCTAGAAGACCTGGATTTCGCGTGTGGATGATTTACGTCTGATGTCACGCAAAATCGAAGACTTACAAGCGAAAACCGACAAACTGGTTGAAGAAGCAGCCAGAGAAGACAGGACTCCAGGTGAACATAGACAAGATGGAGGTTATGAAAATAACCAACCAACAACAACAACAACAACAGCAGCAACATCCAGCGACAATCACCATCAACGAGAGGGATTTGAAGGAGGTTACTTCATTCACTTATCTAGGTAGGGAGCATTGTCTCAACTACAGGCAAGTGGACTCGACGAGGATGTCAAATCGAGAAACACATTCATCAACCTGAAACCAATCTGGAAATCTTCGTCACTCAGCCTGCATCAACAACAAAATTCGGATTTTCAATACAAACGTCAAGTCAGTCAGTTCTTCTATACGGATCAGAAACTTGGCGGGTCACAAAAAATATTTCCAACAGCCTGTTGCAGACCTTTATCAACAGCTGTCTTCGTTCTATACTCAAGATCAGATGGCCAGCCGGAAAGAATCACAAACAAGAAACTATGGGAACAAACAAAACAAGAACCAATCGCTCAACAAATATGCAGGAGAAAGTGGAGATGGATTGGACACTCTCTGAGGAGGCCTTTGGGTGACATCGCGCGTCAGGCCCTCGAGTGGGACCTGAAAGGGAAGCGGCGAGTGAGACGTCCAGGGGTGACATGGAGGAGATCCTGTGAAGAGGAGCTGAAACAGTATGGATTAACATGGATGCAGGTGAAAAGTACAGCAGAAGACAGAAACAAGTGGAGGTGTACCATTGAAGCCCTATGTTCCACTAGGAACCCAAGGGAACAATAATAATAATATAGGTTTGACAGATGGCCAGGGTAGCAAAAATGGCTGGACTTGTTTCTTTTGAACACAGAGCGCCGACTGATTTAAGCGAATTGCGGTGGCCTCTGCTATTTGGAGTGTTATGTATCCATAGGCTTTTGGTAGTTTATTTTATACCCAGCAGATGATACAGTGAGGTTCTTAAGTGTTGGCTCCAGTAGCCTTTCTGGCAGGTGTTCCCTAGCACGAAAAATTAAGATACAGTGACAGGTGTCTAGTGTAGGTATTCCATCTTTCAATTTGGGAATCACAACGGGGGTGCATGGAAAATATAAGCTGCAGCTCACTGGCGATAAACGTTCTTTGAATCGATTTTCTCAACTTGTCGGTTATTATTATTTCATTCGATATATCACCTTAGAATTGTAGTTGTATTTACCAAGGCTTCTTATTAACAGGCGCAGAAGAATTCTTTTCTACTTTCTTGGCCATGTGTCTCGTGATGAACTTTTTCAGGGTAGCTGTTTTCAATCAGTGTCTTGTATACAACGTTAAGTTCATCTTCTATCTTATTTTCTGAACAAATAGCTAAGGGTACTTACCAGATATTTTTATACAAGTGAGGAACAGAGCTGTGAAAATGTGTATAATGACCGGTCCAAGTACTTTTCTTATGCAAATTCCTTCTTATACTACCGTCTGATCTTCTTGTCAGTAGGACGTCTAGAAAGGCAATCTTACTTTAGGATTCTGCCTCACAAATGAATCTGATATCTGAATGTACTTCATTCAATTGAGGCATCATTGCGTTCTTATCCAAATTGTTTTCACAAAGTAAGAATTTATTATCTATTTGCCGGCAATAAAATGAGAATTTTCTGATAAGCTTGTTCAAGGAACCATTTTCTAATTTTACTGGCATTAGTCGCAGCGCTAAAAGATACTATGTACTGGCCTTCTTAAAATCTTTTTGTAAATAGTCACTGTAACGTGGAAGTTAGTGCTTAAGAAATCTTTAACTCCTGTACCAAGGAGGATTATACATATATGTACAATATTCCAGAATAATCGTCGTTGACATTATTGATATTTTCAAGTAATATCGATTTCTTAAGATACATGGAATTACAGTTCAGAAGGGATGCATAATTTATAATAAGCCTGAAAAATATAGTACTATAAATAGAATATCAGATAAAATTAAGAGAATTTATGCAGTAAATTAATGTTAGTCAAAACCTTGATGGCCAAATTAAGGAAAGAATCTGGACTAACTTTTTTCGGATACATAATTTGGGTTTCTTAATGTGGATTCTGACTGCTTCAGAAATATGTAACAGATGAAATCTTGAGGTAAACCTGAAATTAGTCGGTATACGGATGAAAATCTTGAAAGCCTTGTTAGCATCAATTGTGTGTTCTGTATGCACGAGATTAGGTAGGAGAAAGATGTGGATAGACCTTTTTTTTCCTTCACTTAACCACACAGGATGGTGTTAGGAAATCTGAGGATAAATATGTCTTACTGTACGCCTTATGTATCAGAGTAGATAGCTCCGGCTATGTGGACCAAACACTTTATTCGACTGTGTTTATATTTCAAGGGTACGAAGCTCAAAAACTGGTGAAATAGCTTACTTATATGCCCGACCTCAATAAGCCGATGACATACTCATCCTTGGTATTATTTCGGTTGCCTAATCATAGCTCCAGAACACGTTGAGATGAATGCATTAAATGTTTGGTATTAGATAGTTGAAAGCGACAACAAGAGGCCTTCGACCTAGGTTTCGTGCTCCCTGGCACTCATCGGTTGGCAAGGCGTATCTGCAACCTTGAGGGAACTCATGTCTGTCTTCAGATTCGAACCTGCGTCACCCAGTTCTGCAGTCAGAGACGTTATCCCCGTACTATTTGGGCACGCGATTGTCCTCCTCTAGTACTATATTGGATATTTTTTTGACTGGACACTAGTCTGTAACCTGACTGATAGAATTCAGTCTGCACCAAAGTTGGGACTGGACACATTACACTAGTTACTGGCTAGTGTCCAATAAAAAAATACATTGAATTTCTTAAGAACCAGCCACTCCCATTGACATGAAGACTGAGATTTACTCAAATGTTTAGGGGCCTGACGAAAATTGACACCTAATGCTAGAATATCAAAATAATTTTTGAATAAAGCAAGAACAACAGTTTGTGTAGAATAAGATGATACCATCATTTATTTCGTTCACTTCTCATCAGCTGAGTACAAGGAATTTTACATGATATCACTTAGTGACAGAAAACTTCAAACTTAATAAGTAGTGCTCAGAAGATCACACAAATATGGTTTATACTCAGAAAGTTCAATGTGGTGATTTCAACTCAAATCATAGAAACAAGAGACAAGCAAAGTTACGCTATGTCAAAAGGGGGGAGAGGTTAAAGTCAGAGATTACGTGAACAAATGAAGGGGGGAGTAAAGACATCCAGTTACAAGGGCAAGAAAAGACTGAAAACTGCTCCTTTTTGAACAATATAAATTGGGTCTCATGAGTTTGATAGAGATTGCTTCAATAAAATTGAAGAGAACTGAACCATTTTGTGATGTCCACCTCATGACCCATATTGATAACTTCTTACAATATCAGGTTTGTTCCTTAGAGACCTAGGTATTTCGTTAAATGTTCACACAAAAGGTGTGCCTTTCTTTCTGTCCCATCAATATAAACGCTATCACGGATACATGTAAGTTTGTATACACAGTTAGAGTTAACATGCGAAGGATATATATCAAGCTATGATTGCGTCAAACAGCATACTATCCGATAAAGGATACCAACTTAGCTGCAGGATAGGCCCTAGCTCGTGAGATTTACAATCTTTTGTTAACTATTCCTGAAATATTATCACCTTTAAAAGTAAGTTGTAAGAAAATAGGCTTCTTTTCCATTGTGATTTATCTGGCATTTGAACCGTCATATCTTCCTCAACTGTTGGTGAATTTCTAAGGGTAACTGTTGTTTTTCAACGTCTCTTCGAAGACCAGAAAGACTTCCTATAATTTCTTTGTAGAGCATATTCTCCGGGCTTTATCTTTGTTTAAATCTGAACTTTACGTGTTTAGACTTTTCAAGCGTAATTTTCTAAAAACTGTTTATTAAGTCTTGAGTTTCTTGTCAAATGAAATCAAGTAAAACTTGCTGCACGCAGCTGATGAGAAGTGAACGAAATAAATGATAGTATCACCATCTTATTCTACACAAACATTTGTTCTTGCATTGTTCAAATTCAGGCAACGTGGTTCGGGGTTCGATCCCCTGCCGACGCACACCTGATATCTATGGTCGGCCTGCAAAATTTGGGCTACCGATGTCACATGCTGAAAATTCCACACCTGTACCGAAAAATACGGTGTGGAATCAAGCTGTAATAAAAAAATTCAAAAAAAGAAAATGGCTGCATCGAATATTTTCTGCCTCATGTTTAGCACAGTAACTCTTATGGACTAAAGTGATTTACAGTTGTCATATGACGAAGAATGAATTCATAGACAGTATTTACCAACTTCCGAACTCAGCTGGTACATCCAGAGTTTCCGCATCAGTACTTTGAAACATTCTTTCTTACTGAAAGTATCTATGAACTGCCCACCTAACTAATTTCCAGTTATTTCAGTTTTCAAGTGAACACTTTTGATAATTGTTTTTTCTTTTTGTTTCTTCTCTGAAACTATTCACAGTTACTCCACCTGTTCCTGGTAGACCAATAGTTAAACGAATCGAAACTCCACTTCAAGTTCAATCAAATGGTCGGCTTTATTCAATAACTTCAGAGAGTTCAAGTCTTTCAAATGGACATCAGCATAATCATCAGTTGGAGTTAGATTGGCCAAATTATTATAATCATTCAATTAGTGAAAATAATCCCGTGGTATTCCTCATTCAACTTCGTATGTATTCATCTCTTGTACAGACAATTCAATCGTCTATGGATAAACCTAACAGTATATCATTTTTCTCTATGAATAATTTTATGGAACCATTTCAGCCGAATGAATATCTGTTTAATAAATGGACTAATTTAATTTGGGTAAGATTGCTTCTGCTTTTTTTTTTAACAGAAGTCGACATGCATACAAGATGTTAAATATTATATATTTTTCTTATTAGTTCTTGGTTTGTAGGGATTTTATTTGCCTACAGTTTCGACTACGAACTTACATCAGTTAGAGAACCACTGGAAATTCAGAGAGTACTGGACACACCTGAAAGGTGTCGAAAATTCTCTACCTTTGTCCGTAGATATTTTTTTCTGAGACGTTAGTAATTAATAGATATCTGAAAAAGGTTTGCAAGGAAGGAAAGGCACTTACTAATCGGAAGAAAGGCTGCCATGTCAAAGAAGGACGAATTGAGCCACTGCAAGAACTTGCACGGAGTCAAAATGTTCACGATGTCAAGCAAAATATTAAGTCATGTCATCCTGGAGAGGCTAAAAGGTGTACTGGGTGTGGAAATTCAACCGAAACACGCTGGATTTAGGAAAAGCAAACAACGTTCGGACCAAATTGCAACTCTATGTATCGTTATCATCAAAAAAAGTATAGAATAGCAGTCAAACCTGTGCATTAACTTCCTCGTCTTCGTAAAGGACTTTGATATCGTTGACTAAGAAGCAATTTGGAAACTACTTTAACATTATGAAGTGCATTAAATCTTTATCAACTACATTCAACAGCTATATGAAAATGCCACATTTCATGTGATCCACAACAGAGCACTCAGGGAAGCCTACAGAGTGAATACAGAAGTAGGACAAGGCTCATTGCCTACTATTAACAACGATATTCCTAATCGTGGTGGAATGGATTATGCTGCAAACTGTGGGAAGACAGAAGACCGGAATACCTTGAACCTATGAGAACACTCTGGAAAATATATGCTTCACAGACGACTTATGTCTACTGTCACATAAATTCGAAGACTTCTAGTGAATATAGAGGAGACGGAGGTGATGAAGATAAGCAACCAACAACAGCAAGCACAAATTACCATCAATGTGAGAAATTTGAAAGAGGTTACTCCTCTGATTTATCTAGGCGTCATCGTTTCAACTACAGGCAGATGACAGTCAGGATCAAAAGGTCAAGACAGGCCTTCATTAGTCTGAAGATGTGCTTCACTCAGCATAAAGAACAAGATTCGGATTTTCAGTAATAATGTCAAGTCATTTGTGGCTACTATATGGTTCAGAGACTTGCTATGTGTATCACGGAAAGTAGTTTGAACAAGCTATTGCAGAGTTTTATTGACAGCCTCTTTCGCTGGCTCCATACTGAAGATGAAATGGTCGGCCGGCGAGAAAGAATTAGCAAGGAGGAATCTCTAGGAACCGAGAAGCTACTTCTCAACAGATATTCCAAATAAAATGGAAACGGATTTGATGGACAGTGAGGAGACACTGGGCAGCCCCTCGAGTGTAACCCAAATGGAGAACGATAAGTTTGGTGTATGTCCAAGAGTGACATGAAGGAGATCATGTGAAAAGATCAAAGTTCATCGGGAATCATATGGACAGCTGAAAAGGACTGCAGAAAACTGTACAAAACGGATACTTGCTATAGAAGCCCTATATTTCACTCGAAACCCAAGTGAATAATGATTATAATAGTAATGGTAATAACTGACAAATATCAAGTCGTAAGTATATCCATAGTCTTTCACAATTGAATAAGTCGATTACTTTACCAGCAGAATACACACCAGTTGCCTTTTTCTAAACAGCATGATAAAATGAATTAAATTATTTTACATCAAAAATTTTGTTATTCGCAGCACAGAAAATGGATGAATTTCAACATACTAAAAGTTAATTATGTTAAAATGGTAATAATTAATTTTACAGAACTTATTTAACAACTGTGAACTTCAGTTTTGCATGTTGTGAAGGATATTCATTTGCTTAATTTAATTTATTCAAGTTACTTATTAAATTATTTTTATTCCTTTGGGTTCCAAGTGGAATACTGGACATCAACAGCACACCTCAAATTTACTCTGTCCTCCTCAGTCCTCGTTACCTGGATCCGCTATTATCCATTAGCTCTCATCCCCTCCTCACAGAATCTCGTCCATTTGACCCTCGGACACACACTCAACTCTCCGTTTCCTATTGGGGTTCGCAAGTAGCCTAGAGTACATCATCGAAATATTCATTTTCTGAGGTATAAATATTTCCGACCACTTCACAAAGTGAAATCAAATTTTAAAATCGTCGTATTTAGAAGAATTTAAACGGGGTGTATAAGACGGAGTGCTTTAGTTGTAGAATGATCGCCACCCACACAGGAGGTTCGTGTTCGATTCTCAACCGATACACTTCCAAACCTCACCTTGTTTACCAGTCGGTAGTTAGACTGGAAAAGAAGGAGAATTGGGCACGAGGCCTGCAACTCCAATTCTCAAAAAAAAACCACCACCGTTACAGAAACTTCAAAGCCGGAAACCCAATGTTCCCCTGGGAATTCAAGGATTGAAAACATGCTTGGCAAGGAACAATCTTATAAAATGGGCCATCCTAAAGCATTCAGACAGGGGAGTGTCGACGCACCAATGAACCTGAATGCATGCCTTTTGTTGGATCACAGAACCTACCACTATTATGTCGTCCCTGTGAATACAATACCCAAAATGTTGTGAAATTTCATCGCGATATCGATTTTAAGTACTGTTTGAACAAGTGGTTGACAGCACGTCAGAATTAGGGTAAAGGTTAGGGATTGCGTTAGGGTCGGGATTAGGATTAAGGTTAAAATTTATGTTAGGATTGGGATTAAATAGGGGATTAGGACAACGGTGTTTTATCTGTATTTTTCTTGTAAATAGATAAATGCAGTCATTGTTCATATGGACGAAACCAATTCGATAGATAATAAACCTGAGAACTGATACCCTTCATTGTAACTGGGATGCACTTTTAAGTCACGTCAGTGGAAACTGCCACGTTTAATGTGTTTCATTATTATTATGTATATTTTTCTTGTAAGTAAATGGCTTTCTGTGTAACATACGCGGCTTTCTGTCACTGGTCATTTCGTAATCATTGGTGCACTCTCACTCTGTGGTCACCATCCTTTATGTTTGCCCATAAAAGGTAACTTCCTAACCTTAATGAGATAATAAACACAATTGTTGGTGGAGACCGGTTTTCTCAGATGAATTGAGACTGAGAAATGGTTTTTATTATTTTGATTACTGTGATCGAATTTGTTGAAGTGTTTCATCATTAATTCCACTTTATTTGCTCACTTTCCCTACAGACAACAAAACTTGGAGCTGTCCTCTCCGATTTGAATCCAGGCACATGGTATCAGTTTCGTTTGTTAGCTGTTTCAAGTGAAGGTTTTGGAGGTTGGGGTGAGCCTAGTGAACCTATTCGTACACAAGTCCAGCTAATTCCACCATCTAGACCTCGAAATCTTACTGAAATACGCTCAAGAATATTTGACAATCATGTTGATAGTACAATTTATTGGGATGCTCCAGAAGAAAGTTTGTTTCCTTTGAAAAAGTACCAGGTAAGGCTAACTGCACACTAAATGGGTTTTTTTCTACGTGTATGTTTTATACTCGAATAAGTTATCTTAATCGTATTTACAAAATTTCTTCATCAAGCAGAATGGCAATTTCATAAACCCTTCCTCTAGGCTTTATAACAAAATACTCATTTTTCAAAAGAATGGATACTGAACAAAGAGTACTTTTTTCGATAACTTCATCATCAGGCTCTACAATTATATATACATTATAGTGAATGAACTAGTGTTATGAACAACATTAATGTTTAAATAACATCGAATTAGTAATATCAGTAGATTACTACAGTTCAGTAGCATCAACATAAAAATAAAGTGAAAGTCAGAAAAATTAGGAAAGATAATGTTACAAATTCATGAATTTATAGTCTCTACTGAAGGCTAGGGCAGTAGTAGTGGACTTGCTTCTTTTGCACACAAAGCTCTGACTGTTTCATGCGAATCGCGATAGCCTCTGCTGTTTGGAGTATGCTGTGCTTCGATGATCTTGACAATTTATTTGGCACCCGGTAGATTATAGAAAAGGATTCTTCCACACTGGCTTTGTGACCGGTTTTGAACCAGGTGGTCCAATATCGAACTGTTGATGGTTTTCACTACACATTTACTCAGACATACTGGAAGATGTTCTCGAGTAAACTCATTTAACCGACTATAATTAGCCCTACTACAGTGCGCTTCTTTCCATCTCTACAGTATTAGTATTGCACATAAAAGCAAGTTCATATCCCTGTGACATTTGAGCAGTTAGGCAAAACAGAATAAAACAGTTATCACCCTCGAAATCTTTTGTATCACATTTAAAGTATCCACACTCATTTTTTCTTAACTTTTGGAAAATGGATTTATCCTTCACAGTCAATTACTTAATTTATCTGAGTGAAAATTGAATATGTGAACTGAACAGTCTATTTAAACGTCTCTCTAAAATTTAATCCATCACATTTAAATTCATACATTTGTGAAAATACGTTTTATAACAAACAGTAGCAAACATCACTATGTAATCGTTTTTAGCTAGAGATGGTAAATATGATCTAGTGAAGAGTCTTTTGAAGTAACAGATTGTAACACAATCACTTCATTTGATATCAACTACAATAGCAATAACCCAATAAATCAGAAAAGAAACTGTATGAAAACATTGTTTAAAAGGGTCTTAACACACTGTTTCCACCCGAGGCACTGAAAACGGAACCAGAGATTGCGGAAGAGAAGCTCACGCCGTTATTGCAAAAGATGTGGAAGGAAGGAAAGGTGCCTACTGACTGGAAGAAACGCTGACAAAACTCACTTGAAACACACAGTCACAAAATGCCCCTAAAGACAGCAAAAGCAAAAACAAACAAACAATACTTGAAAATTAATCTGATGCTCACTAGTGACTGATCCTATTCAGGTAGGCAGTTACCTGGGGTTCTAGTGGGAAGCCGCGACCACTAGGGTACAACAGGTTGAAAGTGAGGACAGTTACTCATCGACGACACTGAGATATGGTTGCGCTATGTTATAAATTGGCAGAAGCTAGAATTCGTGAGCAATTTGTCCGTGTCCCAGTAGCTTAATGGTCAGCGAACTCGCTAGCCTTCTAACCAGAAGGTTGCGTGTTCGAGCCCTGATGGTGGGTGCGTACTGGTGAAGAGTGCCAAAATTGGCTGACGAAACAGCTGTCCAGTACTCCCTGTTGGTTTCCAATGACTCTCTAACTGATGTCAGCTCATAATGAAATCCTCCAACTAATCAAACACAATCCCTATACAAAAAACAACCAATACTTGAAATGTATTCTTCAGTAAATTTGCGGTTCTGTTAAACACTAATGACATAAAAAACTATAAGTGCAAAACGAGTACTTAGAATCAAGTAGAATATTTCCAACAAGGAGGGATCGAAAACTCTGTCCACAAGAATCTAACACTAATGCTTCCGCCGACAGTCGAGAGTCAGAATGACCTCACTTCACTAAAACAAAACAAAACATCGTTAAACAACATATTATCAATGTATGCATAACTACAAAAAGGGAAGCACTAAAATTAGAGGCTAAGCAGAGACAAAGAAAACTAATCAGGATCAAATCAGCATGCAATGTACAAATACATATCGGGACAACGGTATACCAGTCCAGGAGAAAAACGGGTAATAATTACAAACTTGAAACGTCCAGGAGGGATCTTCCAAACAATCTTTCCGTTACACTTGGTTTAATTAACTACTCAAGCATAAAGACACCCTTTTTGATAAGTAACGAATTACTGAACACATATCATTGTATTGCTTAGCGGGTATCTTTCAGAATAATCAGTTTCGTCTCCAATTAAAAGTTGCATGAAGTGCTAAATGTTCATGAGATTTACTTAAAGTGTATTCTCATTTAAGCAGGAAATTCCCATTAATGACTACAAATCATGATTTGGCAGAAGTTAGAATTCACGGGCCATTGGATCGGGTATACGAGCTCGCCTTGTAACCAGAAGGTCGTGGGTTCGAATCCCGGTGGGTGCGTACTGATGAAGAGTTCCAAACTAGGATGAAACAGCTGTCTAGTATTCCCAGGTTTTCCAATGGTTCTCTAACCAATGTCAGCTCATGATGAAAATCCTGTAACCAATCAAATCCCTACAAACCAACACTTGAAAATCATTATCAGTTATGATAACATTTCCAATATGAACCTCTACCTATTCTAAGTATACGAATGCGTATGTCATTGTTCTCAAATAAAACTTTAACTTTGACGTTTGTATGTCTTTCATAAAAACAGATAACATGGCGTCAATATTATGCATTTAATGGAGAGGACAGAAGTTCTTTGACCGAATATTCAGCAAATGTACCTGCAGTAAGTTACTTAATACTTATGTTATTTTAATATGCTTGACTGTTCAACAGACAGCATTCTGATCGAAATGTTTTTATCTTAGAATAATATGTAATTACTATTCTATGTATCATCGTAACGAAATTATTTATTGGCAACTCGATGTACAGATATAGGCAAAATACATCTACTATGTGTTAGAATCACAATCTGCACTTGTCTTGCGTATTGTACTACTTCTGTCTGTCTTCCTTTCATGTTTTCTTCGTTGTTTCACAAGCATTGTTTAACTTTATGATCTTTTTTCCTTAAACCTATTGTATATATTAGGCTGCCAATAACTGATGAGAGGCCTTGAAATAATGTGGGCACACTTTATACTGCTATCCCGTTCAAACTTTGACGAATTTAAATTTCAGTTTTGATCATGATTTGACTTCATTTAACGAACCATTGAGAACCAACAGGATGTATTGGACAGCTGTTTCGTCCTCGTCCTGGACTCTTCACAGTGTGTACCCATGACCACACGAGGAATCGAACCCAGGACCTTTAGGTTACAGGACGAACTCGCATACCATTCAGCCACTCGGACGGAATCTAATGGTCTATCAATTCTAATTTCTGCCAGTTCGCCATATAGTGGGACTAGCAAATGAAATTGCTGCAAACCAACAGTAGTGACTCACTACAGGATGAAGTTTGCATAGGGTTCTAGAGGGAAGCCGTGATCAGTGTGGTCTACTCAGTTGAGCGTGACACTAGCTGGTGGTCGTGCCATATTGCGCATTGACAGAAGTCAAAAAGAGATGGACTATTGGATTCCGTCCAGTGGATGAATGGTATACGAGTTCGCCTAGTAACCTGAAAGTTCTGGGTTTGATTCTTAGTGGGGTCATAGGTGTGTACTGCCAAAGAATCCCAAACAAAGACATGACAGCTGCCCAATACTCCCAGGTTCTCGATGGTTCTTTAAATGAAGTTAGTCCGTGATCCAGACAAATAATTTCTTGAGGCATGAATATATTCTCTACAGATGACGAAGTGAATTTCATTCACATTTGTTTCTACTTAACTCCTTTACGCTCTGAGTGGGACTTATGGCTCCAATCTTTGAGTTCTGAAGTTTTAACAGCGGTGGTATTTTCACGGGGTAGGGTTTCACTAGCTTCACACTCCCAGCCTCCATTCCTTTCCAGTCTTCCCACCAGCAAATAAAATAGGCGTGGTTTAGTGTAACATCAGAACACAAGAGTATTTGGCAATGGCATTACTTATTGCTAACTCGATGTAAAGATATAGGCAAAGTACATCTACCATACATTAAAATCACAATTTGCACACGTCTTCCGTATTGCGCTACTTTTTTGTTTCATAAGCATAGTTTAACTCTTCTTTTCACCATTAAATTCATCTCTCCACCATTCGACATTTTTGCAGATGACGTACATATTTATATGTGTATCTATGTACTACCTAAATATCTTATCAGTAGCACACGCCCATTTATTTGTTTGCTATTTGGAAGAAATCTGAAATCAAGAGTTGAAATCGAGTTCTACACTTACCAGATAATGATTGCTGCTTTACGCACAACATTAATTTAGCTGTGTTTCGCTCTAAAAAAATGCACTCTGAAGTCGAACATCAGTGATAAGTGGAAGATCATTAAAAAGTCGACCCCCCCCCCTCTCAAAGGACCAACTTTATAAGCGTAGAATATTCGCCACATAATACGCAGATATTTATTACCGTCTTAGCAAATCACTCAACTACTTATTACTTTTCATACAATTGACTTTGTTAAACTTCGATAAAGAAAGAAAGAAAGACCGGATTTACGGTATAAAATGATCCCATCATTCTAGTTCACACAGGTTCCCATCAGTTAACTGCAGACTGTTCTAGAAATTAAAATGGTTTTGAAACAATGACAATAGCATACTTCAATGTTAAAAAGAGTTATCAAATTAACTCACCCAAAATGTAATCACTAGAATTTTTAGTTTATGTCACCATCAATTTGTTTTGTTTTCAGAGTAGAAAAGGAATAAGAGAAAGGTACTGAAGACAGAAAACAGAAACAGTTTATTAAATATTGTTAGCTTATTAGTTCACATAGAAACTCAAGAAGGAAATATTTCATAAAAATTAAAATTCAAAGGAGAAGGAGTATTACAAAAGACTGACAAGAGAATGAAAGGAGAAATGAAAAGATACATTCCTGCGGCTGAACTCGTAACACTTTGCAGCATCACATGCTCAATAAGCCAGTCTAAACCGGAAAAGTACCCCACTGATATCATCTCCAACTACGTTTATAAATGTACGTGCACTTGTATGAACAAGTACATTAAAAGGACAGAAAGAAGGGATTCTATACCGTTTTCTCACCATGCATACAGAAAGAGAGTGTAATCAATGTCTCTTTCCCTTGGTAACTGCATTCTGATGACACTGATTAATCATCCATTATTATTGATTTCACCTCACTAAGCAAATTTTGGTCTTGTGAACTATAACCTTCGTGAATTTCTAAGTCAAATTAGAAGCTAACCCTATTTATTAGATTTTCTCGCTTTCTGTAATTCTTAAATTTCGGAGGCGTTAATTTTCATAATATTTCTCTACTACCATTCAAACATTGAAGAATGTTATTTCCATTCTTTTATAACCATTTTAATTTCACGTGGTCTGGAGTTAACTGATGGGAACCTGTGAGAAATCGAATGATGGTATCATTTTATACTAATTGTTTATCAAAGCCAAATTAGTCGAAGTGATGCATAGAACTGAAACAGTTCCTAAATATCTGTCACTTAAGTAATAAAATTAAGATCAGATATCCCGAAAATTTAAATAATGTTCCCTCTATAGATGTAAGTACAACACAGCTGAACAATGACGAAAACACTAATAGAAGCTCTAGAAATGTGTATTCTACTATCATTATATAGTAAGCGCACAGCAGAGGACTAAAAATTAATCTACACCATGGAAACTGGTGATATATTTTAAATTCAGTTTTCCCATTCTTTGAAAATCATGTGATTTATTCACTTACAGACTACTCATGTTTAATATGTTACTATTTTCTTGTATTACTTATATTTGTATCAGTAGTTAAAAATATATTACAAAATAAAATAAAAATCAGTGAGGAAAATTTTCTTTATTGACGAAATCACCTTCAGAGGCTGCACAATTATATTTTCACTTACCGGAAATATACAGTAATCTACTGTTAAGTAATAGTGTTGACGCAGTCGATGTAAATACCGAGAATCGGTTACTAAAATAAATATAAATGATTGAAAAATTAAGTAATAGTCAGAGGTGCAATGGAAGAAAGGCCATGGGATTTGATAAGGTTAATATCGTTTTGGAATAAGAAGTTATCTAGTTGGATGTCCACCTGAAAAATGTGAAGAGCATTAGAAGATACACAAACGGAACATGTAAGATTGACAATACTGAATTAATTATTAATGATAAAAGTGAACGATTAGGGAAGTGATTGAGACCATGGTAGAATATGAGATTGAATAAACTTTTTTAGTACTCAGAGATCGGGATTGTATTGACGAGTCGCCAAAGCCATCGGCGCAAGTAAAAGTCAAAACCTAACATGCCTTGTCTCATTCGGTTCCATCCTGTAAACAATCTTAAAGGACGACTCTGCTGGCCTGCTGACTTGAAGAAAAGGTTACATCATCAGTTATGAGTAATCGAATGCCAGAGTATTCGGTTAAACAGAGCCCAAAACGCCATCGGTGATGCTGTCTGTATGCATTAAAACTGGATAGATAGTCACTATATGTAAATAAAGAATGTTTATCCTAAATGATAAGAGGTATGTGTAAATGAATAATGTATATTACAAATGAAGTATTAAAATCTACAGTGAACTGAACACCAGATAGAAGATTGCGAAATAAAACATTGGTGACTTTCTTTACAATAGTCTTTCAAGCACCGACCTAATTTTCAGAACTACCTGTTTCTATAAGGCTACTGAACTAAAGCTCTCTGAATTTCACTGAATTCAAAAATCAGGAAGATGAGGGTTATTTCTATCTAGTTTGTATATTTAGATATGCATTTTATTTGGTACCTTAAATATTATTTCACTATTAAATATACCCTGTTATTTTTTCAGGATAAAACTATGTATTTGATTCAGAATCTTAAACCAGGAACACCATACAAAATTGAAGTAAGTTATGCTAATAATTCACACGAAATTCATTTTGCCACTTTTTGAACAGGCGACAGAATTTGTTGACTGATGTTGAATTTCGCGCAGTTTCAATAGGAATGAAAAAAAATAAACTAGCCAATCAAATAGGGCTAAATGTGTTCACTAGATGGACTGGTTGAACGACTTCGAGCTCGCTTCTAGTTGATTTTGACTAGAAATAACGTTCACGATTGATGTGTGGCCATCTATCCTGCTAGACCCGACCTTCGACCACACTATCCGCTGACTCTTTAGCCTGGCTCACCTAACCTGGTGGACAGTCTGTTCTTAACACTGCCCAGCTGGCAAAGGGAGAATATGACACTTATGGCTGCTGAAAGATGTATCTGTTGACGATGATCTGAAGAGAGTGCAGTTGCACCACAAGAAAGCTGCCGAGTTTTTCTCCCTTGAAAATCTAATAGTCTAACCTGTGTTTCAATCCAAACAGATATACAAATCAGTCGTTGAAAGTTCGAATGATTTGAGGAAATTCTTTGATCCCCCACAAAATTATTGAGTCTGAACTAGATTTAAATGTCTATGTGTCCTTGATGTTGACTGAGAATCAAATAATGAAAAAGTCAAAAGCAATAAAATGAAGCTATATTAATTATTCTACTGAGTAAATCAGCATGGTCAATAAAATCATGCAGTGGTGAGAAACAGTTTCCCGTAAGGTTTTGATGCAAATATATTCTGATGACAGGGCTATCAGTGCAGTTTCTAAGGTCTTTTCATTAAAAATAGTCTGATAAATGACTGAAGTGAAACATGTGAGTACAAAGTCGTATGAATGTGAAAACGAAGATTATCAAGTTGTAATTAGCATCAAACCTAATGCTTCAGTACTTACTGGTTAAAGAAAACACTGGCAAATGATTTATCGGTTCCAGGATTTCATCATGAGCTAACATCGGTTAGAGAAACATTGGAAAACCCGGGAGTACTGGACAGTTGTTTCGTTTGAGTTTGGGGCACACCTAGTGGGGTTCAAACTCAGGACCTTCTGGGTACAAGATGACCTCATAAACTAGGATAAAACGCCTCTCCAGTACTCCCAGGTTTCCTAATGGTTCTCTAACCGATGTCAGCTCATCATGAAATCCTGTAACAAATCAAATCCCTGAAAACCAACACTTGATTTCCACTCTGATGATCACTAGCGACTGGCCCCATTCAGGTAGGTAGTTACCTGGGTTCTAGTGGGAAGCCGTGACCAGTAGTGTACAGAAGGTCGGATGTAAGGATAAATATTCGCCAGCGATGACATTGGCTAGTGGTCGTGCTATATCGTGAATTGGGCTGGCCAATGCATTGTGTCCCAATGGCCTCATGGTCTACAAGCTCGCCTTGTAACCAGAATGTCCTGGCTCCGAACCCTGGCGGTGAGTGCGTACTGTTGAACAGTCCCAAACTAGGGTAAAACAGCTATCCAGTACTCTCAGGTTTTCCAGTGGTTCTCTAGACGATGTTAGCTCATGATGGAGTCCTGTAACCACTCAAATCCTTGCAAACCAACACTTAAATAATTTACCACTTAGTGCCCAATCTATGATCTATACTGTACGTTTTCATACCAAGACAGAGTAAGAATGGTCACAGATTTACACATTCAGTTCTTTCGATCCAAGCACATACATTTTAGTTCAGGATGATATTTTTAAAGAGTGCCAATTGAATACTATGCACCCTACAGTATCATTTTTGACAAGAAAGAACCAGGTATTTAACGGAAAGAGTTGCTCTAATGCAAAGATTTTTTATTTCAAATGCGACAGAAAAAGTTGCAATAAAAAAAGACAGAATATCTATCTATAAGTCTAAGTAAGGCTGAGCAATAAAGAAACTTCATGCATACAGCCAAGTGTAAAAATCACGAGATGGCTTTATTGTATTGACTTGTGACAAGGAAAATGCCGCTTACGAGGGAAATGAATAAGACCTCTAGTTAAATGGTTAGTTTCAGACACAGAATGAATGTGAGAAGAGAAATACAGAAGTTCTAACTTACCAAAACTAAAGCAAATGTCATAACTGCCCTTGAGAAATTGAACAGCTACGGAAATACCAAATGGAAACAGTAAGGTTGTTGATATTAGATAGTTAGGGCATTCGGCAGGAAGACTTCGACCTAGGTTTCGTGCCAGTTGGCACTCACCAGTTGGCAAGGCTTACCTGCAACCTTGCAGAAAGTCATGTCTCTTCTGAGTCTAGAACACGCGCCACCCAGTGCTGCAGTCAAAGGCATTACCACTGAGCTATTCGGGCTCACGACTGACGTCCAGTAGGAACGTATTAGATACTTTTGATTGGATAGTAGTTAGTAACTAGTGTTAAGTGTCTAGTCGTTTGTTTGGTGCCGAGTGAATTCCATCACTCATGTCGTGCCTAAATTACTAAACGAAAGCAAAATATTAGAAATATTTTTTTAATGTCACATAAGAGGAATTCACCTAGTATATTACGCAACATCAAGTTCAACATAGAACAGATATTTTCAGATGTGCAAATCACTCCAATAAATGACTTTGTATAGTGTTTACTTTGCACATTTGTTTGTTTATTCACATGTGTATATTTTTTCTGTCTATGGTGTTTTAATTAGGTGAAAGCAGTTTCACTCTTTGAAGGAAAAGAACTTAAAAGTCATCCGAACACTTTGTACATATCTACAATACAAATTCCTACTCAGCACACAGAAACAGGTGAGTTATCAGGATTTACACTTCATTAAATTTAGATTACTACATTCATTTCAAGTTTACTAACTTAGTTTTCCCAGTTACCCAGGCTGTTAGTGTAAGGGACACTCGAACATGGATCTGAAAACACCCAGGCTGATAAACAGTCAAATATTTACCTCTTTCATACCTACCACATCCTTGACATGCTATCGCATTTACGCAGACCTTGCTTATCTGTTTACTTCATCTTGGGTAATATTTTAGTGTAACTAGGAAAATTTCCTCACAATAGGATATTTCTCTACTAATATTAACTAAAAAACGTAATGGAGTTAATTAACCATTCATAAATCACCCTGGTCCACTATATTTCACCCTATATTAGAGTTGAAGGAGTTTAAAGATGTTGACAGTCACTCAACACACTCTGTGTACAGATGCAAATGTTTATCCTATAACTCCCAAAGCATTTGTTCCACTGAAATCAGAGATAAACCAAAAAACACCAAATTTAGCTGTCCAAAATAAGAGATATATATTTTAGGATCAGAAACGTAGAACGATGATGACTGCTTAACAAGGTAGGGTTCATCCACTAACTACCGAACGTAGCATGACAGTGTTTCAAATGGTATGGAAGTCTGACCGCAAACCTTCAGTTTAACGAGTGAAAATAAACCCTAAGGGACTGTAATGACCAAAATCGACGTGTTGCGGTCTGAACACAGGGAACTTATCTTTGCATCCTACTGGATAGCTGTCCGAAACTTCCCTGAGAGACGCACAATCACAAAACGCTCTAAAGACAGCAAAAAGACGATTGTTTGTGGTTGGATTCTAAATGTGGTTCTATTCAACAATAATAAAAATCAAAACCTCAAAATTACCTCAACAGTGCCGTTAGTCAGCTATACAGTCAGTGTAGTTCTCTAAGCACAAAACAAGCACTGCAGAATAAAATTAGTTAACCAAAACCCAACTGTAAGAAGTACCTTACAGTCAAGTAGAATATTCCCAACAAGGTGGGATGAAAACCTCTCTCAGCGAGAATCACACACCAACAATTTCCGCTGACAGTCCAATGTCAGAATGACTTTCATTCACTTAAAGAAAATCACATCATAAAACATCACATTATCAATGTACACACAACCACAAAGAGAAGCATTAGAATTAGTGAATAAACAGGAACAAAGACAAATGATAAAGATCAAGTCAAAATATGATATGCAATTGTCAGAAAAATGATATACAGTCTAGGAGAAATGAGGATAATGACTGCAAAGTTAGTTGAAATACAAAGAATTCTGCAGACAAATAATTTTGGGGGGAATTGGATGGAGGATTTCATCATGAGCTGACATCAGTTAGAGAACCACTGGAAAACCAGCAGTGGAGTACTGGACAGCCGTTTAGTCCTAGTTTGGAACTCTTCAGCAGTACGCACCCACCGCCAGGGTTCGAACCCAGGACCTTCTGGTTACAAGGCTAGCGATCTCGTAGACCATTAAGCCACTGGGATCCGATTCAGTGGCCAGCCCATGAATTCTAACTTCTGCTAATTCCAATGGTTCTCTAACTGATGTCAGCTCATGATGAAATCCTCCATCTAATCAAACTAAATCCCTACAAAAACCAATATTTGGGGGGAATTATTTACCTATGCAAAGTAAATCCTCAAGGATATCTAATTGCCAGTAGTATCGTTCTCTAACTTAAGTTGAGTTAAACCTGAAAATAGAAACCATTAATTTTCCCTTTGTTACTAGATGAAAAACAACAATAATAATAATTAGAGGAGTATATTCGCGAAGTGTATGTAGTTTATTAAGGAACTTCATTACCCCTCCCTCCAGTAGTTCTAATCCTGTAAGTATAGAATTACCAGATGCTTACAATTGAACTGTAATAACAGTGAGTGAAATGAAACGCTCAGGGATACCTTTGAGAATGATAAACTAAAAGTGTACGCAAGCATTATGAAACTGTAACTGTTAATTTGCTTGCTGTTTTTTTCTTCTTAAATTTCAGTATTAACGCCTTTCACATCATCATCGTCGAATGACACTTGTATATGTGGAGATTCTAGACGAGATTATTTAACCGTCAGAGAACAATATTATGAAAATGAACAGCTTCATGCAATTTTATCTTTAAATGTTAAAATAAGTGAGTACAAGTCATTTAGTTAGTTTGTTTTTTTTTGCTTCAGTAAATATACTGTATAAAACTCTTTTTGTGAATAAGAAGTAAAGTAATATCCAGGTCATATCCAAGGTATATGTACTACTGATGAGTAGTTGTATACCACAGATGGGAACCAGTAATGCTTCCTACTCAGACTAACGTGATCATGACACCAGAGGGCCGTTTCGGTCGTTTGAGGCCTGCTCATCAACAGTGTATCCGGTTTGACTGAGTTCAGAGAGGAAACTTTAGTGAAATTCAACCTCAAACTGTGTAAAAACTGAAAATTAATTTGGAAGTTAAGAATTTTATTCATCGAATTATCAGTTTGACCAAGTAACTATCCAGAAATTGGGTGGTTTGAACTGTTTCGGCTCATAGAGCTGAGTCATACCGAGTACACCGATGATGGGCTCGGGGCCAAACGAGCGAAACGGCCGTCTAGTGTCCTTATCACTTCGATACTCTGGCTATCAAGCACTGCTGGTTGGCATTAGTGATACGCAACTACCCATTTCAGCCAATCAGTAGTATATAGTTTTTATGCAAATATACCTGCTTACTTGATTACCATTTATGGTGTCAAGCAGATCATATACTCTGATCTGAATACTTTGGTTCCCAGAGGAAACTCTGGTGAAAATTTCACCCCCTCGAACTGTGTACATTGCATATTACTAACTAATTTGCAAATTCCGAATTTGATTCATGTCAAAGATCATTAGAAATAAGAAAGTGGTAAATAAACCATCGATCCCAAAATGGTATTTTTTAATCCCCAATATCATGAATGATCTCCCAGCTGGATATCTCCTTAGTAGTTAGTTATATTCTGCTAACACAGCTAAAATCTCTAAATAGGATAAAATAGTCGTGCTTCAGTACTCCATGACTTTCATCCGTTGCTGGTTCTTGATAAAAACATATCGTGAAATCAATTACAAAATTACAATACCTCAAAGGTGACTGACTACATTATGGTGTCTAAAGGGAATTGAGGCTAACCGCTTGTCTTCAGGAAATAACGATAGGCAAAGCGATTTGTTCTTGATGGTTATACCTAATTTATAGATTATTTCAGGAAGTTCACCTTTCAAAATTCTTACAATTTGAGCAGGATAAAAAGGATCCACTAAATCAACAATGATGAAACACCGTGCTTAGTATTTAAATCAGTTAGTCCCTTTATGAATTTAGACAAAACAATGAGAAGACGTAACATATCTCAAACGTGTAATGTATTTGCGCAACACACTTCAGAACACATTTATATAGAAGGCAACAGGGAATATAGGATCACAATTTTTGTCAATATAATCCTCAAGTACTGGTTTGTAGGGATGTTGTCTGATTGGTTGGAGGATTTCGTCCTGAGCTGACATCATTTAGAGAACCATTGGAAGACCTAGGAGTACTGGACAGCTGTTTCGTCCTAGTTCGGGACTCTTCAGGAGCACGCGCTCACCAAGGTTCGAACCCAGGACCTTCCTGTTACAAGGCGAGTTTGTAGACCATTAAGCCACTGGGACCCGATCCGATGGCCAGCCCATGAATTCTAACTTCTACCAATTCACGATATAGTACGACCACTTAGCAGTGTCTTCGATGAGTAACTGTCCTCACCTTCAAAATGTCTGCAGGTCTTGGTCATAGATAAGAGATACGAAAATGATGTAAATAAACAGGGTAAGAATAAAAAGGGGTGAAGCTTGGTTCTAAAATTAGATTTCCAAGGCCGGTTCAGTGTAATTATGAATAATTTTGGAACACATTAAACACGTTTCAGCCTTTTCTTAGCTTTTTAAGGCTTCAATGAATTTAAGTATGTGGTCAAAACCTGGCTTACACATGGGTTTAAAGGCATTATTGAAATCAAGTTTGCAACCCATCCCAATGATGTGCTTTGTGATAAATGATGCTAGACATCTGTTTTCAGGATTAATTGTATCCAGTGATTTTATTTGTTCTTGTAACCACTTAGGAATATGTTTTTTAGCCCTGTCCCGCAGAGACCGATGGGTTCTCCCTATATACATGGGACCACACATACATGTAAATTGGTAAATACAGTGGGATGTGACACTGTCGTTTGGTTGCTATGAGGGTTTACAGGACAACATAAATCTCGTTTTCTCTATGAAAATGAGTTTAGCTGTATAGTAAGTGTTATTAAGTGCAGCCCTGAGTCTTCATTTAATTATCAGACTTTGGTTATCAACCTTGAACAATGAGGATATATATATAATAACTTAATATATTTAATTACTCAACATTTTGTTTAGATAAAGAACAACTCAATGTAACTATTCCGACAACAGATTTAATCTACAGTGTTGAATGGACCCCAAAAGTTTGTATTGAAACTCAGAATCAAACAAGTACAGAATTTCTTGGAACACAAAGAAAAGGAGTATCAGTAAGTGTCTTTGAACTCAATCACCCACATATTCACTCTTTCAAATTGATTTTTTTCTAAACTTTTCAACTGACTGATTATGACAATTACAAATTTAATCTGTTTCTTTTGCTGATAAAAGTAATATATAAATAACTTCATGATAAATGTGATAAATTTGTGCGTAACAGTAAGTTTTGACTAAGTCTCATTTATGCTGCAGTGAAAGCTCACTAATTTAAGTTGGATTAGTTTAGGGTATCCTGTTATTGTGATCTTTAGATTGGTTATTTGAAAGTAACTAATTTTATGCTGATCAGTTCTCAGTGTTATTGAAGTTTAGCCATTCGAAAAGCAAATAAACCGCATGTCGATGCAGCACTATTCACTGTGTTTTGTCTACGTTCAGTTCTTTTAGGTGGCTTTGATGTTTCCAATAAACTTCAGTTGCTTTCAATCATGCTAAACAACCATGAATACCTGAAGTAATTTGGTGGACGATAACTAACAGTGGAATCCAGGATGCGCATTTCTTCCGACTAGAGATCCATTGGCTGGATATATCTTCATTCCCCAGTTAGTGATAGTGTTTCCACCAAAACTTCAATACAGTACCTATCGTTTCAAACGCTGAAACGTTTTCCACTTGGTCATTCGGGCTATAAAAACACAGCTGTAGTCACCATCCACCAAAAATTACTTGGAGTCAGTCTTCAGACATCGCCGAAATGTCCGTACTACGAACCGACATGTTAACAGAGGTCCAATATTTCGATCCAGTCAGTTAACCAGAAAACCAAAATTGACTTAAAAACAAATAATAATCTGTGAACACTGTCCAATGTGCGTCGGTGGCACAATGGTTAGGACTCTCGCCGACCATGCACATGGTCCGAGGTTCGATCCCCTTCCGGCGCACACCCGATATCTATGGTCGGCCTGAATTTGGGCTACCGATATCCAGCTGAAAATTCCACACTGTACTGAAAGTTGAATCAGCTGTAAATCAAATAATAAAAAATGTACCGATATTATCCCAAGAAACAAAAAAGCGAAAACCAGTACAAACTCGGCAGCTATTGACTTCTGTTTTAAAATGCCTTAGTGTAGTTTTTGGAAGTGGTTTACCGCAGTTTAAGTGATCTTTTATTCTGATTTGATGACTGAAGGAAAATCAGTACTAAACGTTCTTCCAGTTAGGAAATGTTATAGCGAAACTATTTCTTAGTTAAAATGAATTTTGATGTATTTCAGACAATAGTACTTTCGAATATATATTTCAAATGACATTGAAAATGGTCGCTGACAAATATTTAAGTCAAGCTAATTCTAGAAAATAACCTTAAATTATACAGTCAACAAAAGTCACACAACATTTCATTCTGTCAGAGGAAGGGGAACTGACTTATATTTCTGATCTCAGGCGAACCGCGTACGCCACTAGCGACCCAAACAGCCATTAGGTGTTTGGGTTACTTCCGTCTAGCTAGCTATCTTAGTGGTACAGGGTTGAAGAGTCTGGTCATATACGAATGAAACCGCTGTCTGATGCTCAGATCGCTTCAGGACGGCCAGGAAGCACTACTGATTTATATGATTGGTGTGCAACTACTCACTTCACTCTATCAGTAGTATATAATGCCACACATTTATGCTTCTTTTCTTTCTTGATTAACACTTATGGTGTCAAGCAGTTCACATAAAGTCATCTGAATAACTTCGTTACCCAAAGGAAACTTCAAATTGTGTAATTTAACAGTGACGAAATTAATTTGATTAAATAATACTAGTTTAACTCTTAAGTGGACTGTAAACCATCTCTTGAAAATGAATGAAAATCTGAAAATTAAGCTGGGACTTAAATTCGAACGATTTTAGTTATCCAACAGTCATAATATACTACTCATAACACGTCACAGTACTATTTAAAAATCATCCTGTGTTTCTTTTTCAGGAATATGAATTACGCAATATACTTTTAAGTGATTTACAATTCCAGTGTCATTATGAAGTTAGTCTTTACGTCAAGTCATTTCATAGTAACAACAGTCAATCAAGACAAAATTTACAACCACTACTCAAATGGACTACATGTTTTTGTACACCAACCTGTCGAAATGTTATTATCAAAGATGGTATGCCGCCAAAACACTGTTATGCTCCAAGTAAGTTGAAATTCATTTGTTTACTGTTTGAATTTACAAAATTCTGCCGAAAAAACAATCATTTAGTAATTTTAAATTTTCACTTATAGGAAAGTAGAAAATCAATTAGAGATCAAAATACACACATATTTTTAGTACGGCTTAAACTATTCAAAATATTGAAACATAGAAGCATGTACAACTGATTGCTTGAAATGAGTAGTGTTTTATACCACCCATATCAAGCAACAGTGCTTACTAGCCAAACACTGGACGGTCGTTCAATCGTTTCGGGCAGAGCTCATCGTCGGTGTAGCCGGTTTGACTCAGATCACAGAGTTGAATCAGTCCAAACCATCCCGTTTTTCTGGCTAGCTACTCGGGTGAACTGATAACACGATAAGTCAAGTTAACAATGTGTATATTGGTTAGCAGTTTTCAATGTACACAGTTCGAGGAGTGACATTTTCACCTGAGTTCCCTTTGGAAACCGAAATTACTTAGATCACAGTATATTATCTGCTTAATACGATAAATGGTAATCAAGAAAGCAGGTCTAAGTATTTGAAACTTTATACCACTGATTGACCGAGATGAGTAGTCAATAGAAACGTAGATTTATAAAGTAGATTAGGTCTTTCATTGATTTATTATTTCGTGGAAATTAACCGTCAGGAGATTAGAGGGGGGAAAGGAAGAAGAGGCTTAACCAAAGATATCTTTTCGGTGGTTTCACCCTCAAAAGCTGTACAATCATATTTTTATACATGCGTTCACATAGTGATAATTTTAATTTAATTTAACATGGTGATGTAAGAATATTAAAAGAGACAATAATTTTCAACTGGATAAGAAGGTCTGAAGGTGTGAATATGCGCCATGAGGGGCATAGAAAAAAACAAAACGGGATTAGAAAATAGTTGCCCAGTAAGCTAAATAGATTATGATTGGATGGAGGAGTTCATCATGAGCTGACATCAGCAGGTTGAAGATGAGGCAGTAACTAATCGAAGAAGACATTGAGAAATGGTCGCGCTATCTCGTGAATTGGCAGAAGTTAGAATTCATGGGCTGGCCATCGGATTGAGTCCCAGTGGCTTAATAGTCTACGAGCTAGCTCGCGTTGTAACCAGGAGGTCCTGGGTTCGAATCCTAATGGTGGGTGCGTACTGTGAAGAGTCCCAAACCAGGACGAAACAGCTGTCTAGTACTCCCAGGTTTTCCAATGGTTCTCTAACTAATGTTAGCTCATGATGAAATCCTTCAACCAATCAAACAAAATCCCTACACAACCAATACTTGCAAACAGATTTTAACAAATACAAGTGTGAATAGGATGACTGTTGAAATAATAGTTTCTATAAGTGAAAATGTAAAACTAAGGAGACAAACAGAACTAGATCCACGATAAATGTAGAAGTTGGACTAGTTTCTTTTAAACGCAGCTCTGGTTTCTTGATGTATATGGCTAGGGCTTCCACAGTACAAAGAAGTTGGAAATACACTACCTTTGGTAGACTTTTTGTTCACTTTGTAAATGACTCTGAATTATGAGTCAATTGAGATTCTGTGACAGGTGCTGAAGAGGCGTTCAGTTTTAGATTTATTGCTTCCGATTGAGCCAGTTCCATCCGTTTGCAGTCATGCTAGTAGTGTTCTTTAGAACATTTTGAAGGGACGCGCATAAAACGACCTATGTACTTAGCTCCACAGGCGCAGGTGAACTGATATGTGCACACTGGAGAGACCATATAAGGAAGTTCGTCCTCTGGACTGCTTAGAAGCACTGGGCAGCTAGAGAATCCCACTTTTAGCGTTGCGGCAGGAAAGGTTTTTTCAAGGGAACTAGAGATTCTGATCTCTAGGATATGTGCTACTAAGTCTCCCATGAAGTCTTGGTTCATATACACTATTTTCTTTGGCATTGAACTGCATTTTTCTGAAACCAAAGCCAAAAAGAAAAGAATGCAAATACTGCAAAGAAACAACCACTTTGTCTACTCAGTGGCGTAAATAGAGATTTAGAAAACATATAAGAAATTATGGGATCTGTGCAGTTTTGATAGCCATGCATAAGTTAACCAGTGGTGATTCATGCTATGCAACCAATCTGACTACATTCTGCATCGATTTCTAAGACGAAATTGGTAGTGAATCTAGGTTAAGAAACTAAAAGATATCTAAATCTCCTCTTATAAATATAAATGATAATAAAATACAAGGCTGTTCTTCTTGTACTCATTAGGAAACAATTAATAATTGGAAAATTCCCATATACACATTTAGGTGAAAACAAAAAATTGGTTGAAGAAACGCACTCCTTTTCACCTGGTTTCTCGTCATCCAATCTACACTAATATATAGTTTTTTACATGAGCATTATGCCAGTTATGTGGTTATTTCAGTCAGCGAGAATTATCCTTTTAGGTACAATAGAGGATGGGTGAAAATAAGAGACCAAAAGTCATAAAAAAAACACTTGACTAGCGAATGTTAGCGACAAGATATCTAAATTTTTAGGGAGAAGTGAAAATAATTAGTTACAGAATTCAAGATCACTTATTTCTAAGGGGTTAGCAACAAGTTCTTACATAATCAAGAAAATTGTAAGACATCGATAAACAGAAAGAATAGACTGACTTGGCAGAATCACGTAAGCATACCAAGATACAAACAGGTTAGTTGAATTAGCCAAAATTGTAATCATAATAAAGTAACAAAGTCAAACGATAGTCACAGAAAGGAGGGGAAAATTGTTTGCAAAACTGAATACATATTATGTAGTTGGCCATGATAAAGGAAGGGGTGTACAAATTTCTTTTAAACCCTCAGAGATTTGGTTTGTTCAGATGAATTCCGATTGCCTCTGTTGTATGTACAAGTCGTACTGGCAGACCATGCGAGAGGTTGGGTGATATATAATAAATAACTTTAAAAGCTTTGTTAGTGTCAGTCGACCTGATATCCAGTATCGACGAGATGAGCTAGTATTGAGCTGAGTATAGCTTTATTCGGACCTTCGCTAAACCAAGATGGGAGGAGTTCAGAAATTCGACGATGAAATTGCTTGACCGTTTGCTTAATATAACTAGCTCCACAGGAGCAGTTAAAGTGGTAAATATACATGGAAGATGCGAAGCTAGACAGTTTGTCTTTATTTCTTGAACTGAGTATTGTTTGGTTAGTGAATAAACAACATAACTTACCTGTATTAAAAGTCCTTTCAGAGGCACTTCTCATACCTAAAACTGATGATTCTTATTGACTAAAATAACCAAATTATTGGTATAATTTTAATGTTAAAACTGTATATTAGTGTAGAGCTGATGATAAGGCACTTTGCTCAATTTGTTGTTTTTTTCTTTTTGTGTCTGACCTGTTCTATAAAAAGGCGTAACGAAGAAGAGAAACTTCCAAAGTGCATTTTATCTTTTTCTTTGAATTCAATTCAATTCATTTACCTCTAAGAAGAAACATTTGGTTATTTTTCATTCCTTCGCGTTCCGAAAGGAACGTAGAGCATCAGGTTCAATGTCTTGAGGTTTCCCTAGCTACTTTGTTGTCTTTTTACGAGATGGGGTTGTTAGCCTCACACTCAACTCTCCCTCTTTCCGGGGATTAATACTGACTAGTGAACTGAACGAATTTTAGGAATGAGTCAGCCGGAAATCGAACCTGGACCGTGTGAGTATGTGGCTGGAAAAACATTTTGTCACCTTCATTAAACTGACTACATTTACAAGATTTTGTTACACTAATGTATCTAGTTTTCAGTTGTTACCTTCCGAGTTCTTTGGATTTATTTACATGAAAATAATTTACTTAGATCGAAACAAGATTTTGAGCGAATAATTGTTTTCGATAACTTCTTCAGGCTCTACAGTTATAAATCCATGAATAATAGAGTACATATAGCAAATAAAGGCAAATGAAAATAATATCAGAAACTGTACTGGGATGCATGTGTAAGTTGAAATGATAGTCCATTAGTTAACATAATCAATCAAATGTGTATAGGGTGTATAGTCAGAAAAATGAGATGAAGTGTGAATGAACAATTGGGTGGTATAGTGCTGTTTTATAGTCAACAGAATACAAGTGTCATTGGGGTGAGAGAAATGCGATAGCTACAAAATGCACACAAACACACATTAACAAAGGGGACGCTGAATGTGAGGGCTGACCGATAATGTCTAATGATAAAATAAAGAGGCTAAACTGTAAATTGTAATAAGATGTTACAGAGTTGGTAGGCTTAGTGTAAAATCACAAAGGTTGACAAAATTAAGGGTAACAATGAGGTGAAATAAACTGGGTGGAGAAATGGATAATAAAGACATGATATCACAGAATGATAATAATAATAATACGGAAAATTATAATCCTGGTGACTTTATAGTGGACCAGGGTAGACAGAGAGAGTGAATAAGTTTTTTCTGTACACATAAGTCTGGTCTTTCTCTATTAATCTCTAAAGCCTCAGCTATGGCTAGGAGGCGTAATCGTGTGCCTTTGGGGAGATTGTTTGGTACTCGATACACAACTGTAAATGACTCTTCTACTTTGATGCTGTGTTCACTATCCACTAGATGAGCCAGAATTGCACTATTTAATGATTTGGTCGCTCTTTTCCCAAGCCAAACAGGAATATGTTCACGAGTGCGTAAAGATAAATTCCTTTGGGTACGACCTACATAACTAGCTCCACAGGAGCAGTTGAATTTATATACACACATTGATGTCGTCATTTTGGGTAATCTGTCTTTAATGCATAGTGTCATTATCGGTTTGGTTGAGAAAGTGACATGCAGTTTTGCGGCGCTGAAAGTTCTTTCAACTGCTCTGGTTAATCTACGGTTTAATATATCCCTTTGAACTGTAAATTTAAGTAAGCTTTTCTTACTGTGTCTCGTTGTTTGTGTGTAGTTCATAGATATACTTCTTTACAAAGTTGGTAGGATAGTTCTGTAGCAGGGCGTTTGTGAGATTTTTTATTTCATCTTCAATGCAGTCGTCGGTACATATGCGTCTAATTCTATGACTAAGACAACGAATTAGGTTGCGCTTATATTAAGTCGTGTGGTAAAATCGTTCAATGTCTGTAAATAAATTTTGGAAAAACCAGAAAAATTCACGATTAGTTTAAAAATTCTCTTTTTTTTTCTTTCTCTAGCTCCTTCCTCAGTGCTCCAACCAGTTGAGCTGGCATACACTCTACTGACAAGTGAAAATCTTGAAGAACTTCATCGTTTAAAGGTGAAAAATATCGATGAATTGATAGTTGTCGCTGAGGCTAATATACCGCCTTTATCTAAAAAACAAACTAACCCAAATCCAGTGTTGAATACAGTAAATTATACTGCAATTGTTACCTGGCATCCTGTTGCTGCTTCTATACATTCAAGAAGTGAAACAAGACGTGCATCAAGAACACTAAGAAATCGTCTGTCGAATATTAAGTCAATCAACCCTGAAATACGTGGTATTCGATTAACTTGGGGTCCAAGATTATATGAACCAATTGGATATGAAATGTACAGTAATATTATACAACCACTTATGGATCCAGAGAAAACACAATCAAAAGTTTTAGACTTAGTAAGTAGAATACTACAAATTCTCATTGATCATAAATGATTTTCAATGCATTTCTTAATTTCCTTTACCTCACTGTACGTAACTAAAAGAGTCCCACATTAGATCACCCTGTCCAAATAGACCACAAGACTAACAATAAAGAGTCTTCCTCTATCATCTGTCAGGTATTGAATAAATTACCAAAGGTCTGTAGATACCGAACACTGCAAACATCAGAGGCCATTGCAATTCGCTTAAATCAACCGGAGCTCTGGTTTTCGAAGAAACAAGTCCAACCACTATTGCTACCCTGGCCAGCTGTCGAACCTATAAATTCATAAATTCTGTGTTACTCCCCTTATTTTTCTGATATTCAGTTTAGTGTTACATTTATTTATGCATGTTATCTCTTACTGATGCTTTTGAAATGTAACTTGTCGACACTGCTGATTCATTTCAAGTGTGATCACTGACTGATATCAGCCAGAGAACCACTGAGAACCAGGGAGTACTAGACAGCTGTTTCATCCTACTTTCGGACTCTGAAGCAGTACGCACCCACTGGGGTTCGAATCCCGGACTTTCGGGCTACAAGGCAAGCTCGTAGGCCATTCAGACACTGGAACGCACCGCCAGCCAATGTCACCGGCGCGTATTTGTCCTCATTCGCGACCAAGTGGACCCCACTGATCATGACTTCTCACTAGAACTGTAGGCGACTTTAACCTGTAGCCAGCCACTAGTGAGTATCAGTGGTGTCCATCCAGTGGGGAGTGAGGACAAACATTCCCCGGTGACATTGGCTGGCTGGTGATGACGCTAAAATCACGAATTGATAGAATTTAGAATTCATGGGCTAGTTACTGAGTCGGATACCATTGTCGGAATGGCCGATGAGCTTGTCTTGTTACCTAAAGGCCTTGAAATCGAACCTCAGTGGGTGCGTACTGCCGACGAGTCCCAAACCGGGACGAAACGTATGTTCAGTACTTCCTGTTGGTTTTCACTGGTTCTCTAGCCGATATCAATCTATGAGCAAACTTGAAACAAATCCAATCCTGACAAGATTATTCATTTAATATGTAGTTTAAAACATTAATATTGACAAATAACAATATTTCTTTAACTATCATGGACATATAATTGTAGAGCCTGATGAAGGAGTTATCGAAAAGAATATTGTTTTTGTTCACTAATCAGTCTTTTAAAACATAGAAAAGACACATCAAAGAATATGGCTAGCATTAATGTAGTTTGTTCAAAATCAATTTATGAGTAATATTATAGAGAAATTGTAGAAAATCTATCCGAACTTCACCATCTATGTTCTATGCCTTTTACCGGAGAGACAGGCCTGGAATCTCCAGGGAAGTGATGCTCTACTGAGTTCCCAAGCCTAATAATTTAATTCCTTAGCAAACGACTTCACTTACCTAAGAGTTTCAAGTGATAGATGAACCAAATCTTTGTGATATACTGTCATGTTAACCTGTAACAACAGAAGACAAGGGTCAGGCAACAGATCATTTATTAAGGAAATCAAAGCATATTTGTATATTTTCATTTACATTATTATAGATTAGTTAAGCAAACAAACACAGTCTTCTGATTGGTTGTTTCTCACGTAAAGTTAATCTTTCATCTCTTTGTGACTGTTTCTTGAATTTCAGATCATCTATATGTTAACTGTATCCGCCTACGCAAAGTCTGCTGTGGTCGGTTTTGAATCAATCTTTGTTCATATTTTCTCACGACAAATCATGAGAACGTAAACACTGACGTAAATTACTGTCTACCAATTTGGCTAGTAGACAGCTCTCACCACAAACCTACTTCCGAGCCATATAAACTTCTGTGTACACCAGTAGTAGTTCCATCCCTGTGATGTACCTGTGAATCTTATTTGACATGAATGCATAACCTCAAGTAGCCTGAAGAAACTACCATTCTTGATTGTTTAACCCAATATTGAAAGAAATGACCAACACTTTGACTAAGAATGAAACTGGTAGCATATGACTTAAAAATCTGACATAACCAGACTCCTCACTGAAATTATAATTATTTTTGAAAGAGTTTAGATAAGCTTAGTTTAAGTTTTGTTTCTAAGCTAATTTTTTTATTTTACCAAAACTTTTCTATTTTTTAGAATGTGCCTGGCCTTCAGCTTAAAGGACTTCAAGAAGAAACTTTGTATATTGTTCAAGCTCAGATGATTAGTGAGAAAGGCGATGGACCTGTTTCACGTATCTATTTCATGACACCCTCCAGTAAGTTGTGTTTTAAACTTACTAGTATTCATCATGAGGGATAGTTAGATTATCGGAATGTAAGAATTTAGCTTAGTGTAGAATGATTGACCTCATGTAGATGAAGAGTTTAGAGAAGGAACTCATCAGTGCCATTTCATGCATTAACACACAATCATGCAATGAAGTGGGGCAGAGCTACAATTCCAAAAAGTAATACAGGTAGGTGAAGAAGGAAGGACTGATCACTGAATGTTTGTTCGTGCAACAGGACTGACTCAAAGCTGGTACCAGAAATGTGAAAAATATTATTACCAATAAAATCAAAGGATAAGGTAATGGAATAATTATGAACGAAATTTAAAAGTTATGAGAGTCCTTGGTATGATTATGTGCTCAAAACGTAATCAGTAAATAATGTTGTATCAATAAGTGCTTTTATCAAATAAATTAATTCTGTGATGGAATTATTCACTTTGATACTACTGAAGAAAGAAATTAGTAAACACTGTGTCTGATATCACTTCAAGACTCTTCACAGGCACATGATCTCAGCTAACTTAGAAAGATACAAATCCTATAAGTGAAAAAATGAGTACTACCCATTGAGATATATTAACAGACGATAGATTATGGTATCAAGTGTAGGTTTGCAGGGACATCATTGACTAAAGGATTCATTGACATCAGTTAGGAAACCATCGGGAAACCAGGGAGTACTGGACAGCTGTTTCGTCCTAGTTTTGGACTCTTCATTGGCACGTACCCATTGAGGTTCAAACCGTGGACCTTCTGATTACAAGGCTAGCTCTTACACCATACAGCCACTGGGACCTGAATTCCGACTTCTACCAATCGTGAAGTGGACAAAACAGCTTCTCAGTACTCCCTGGTGGTTTTCAAATGGTTCTCAAACTAATGCCGACTGGTGATCAGATCTATACGATATCTATGTATGCTTCTAATTCAGAGAAAATGTTTTCCTGCTCCACATAAAATACCTAATCACTTCTGTTTGTTTGTCTCTTCTCTTCTTTTGCACCGATTAGGAGAAACCAGTTCACGGCATAATTCTCAGTCTATCCAAGAAATAAACGTGAAACTTTTATGCATAATTATTTTATTTCAAATGATCAAATATCACATTCTATGACTCTATTGTCTTCCCAACTTTACTTCACTTTGTACTATACTACTACTAATACTAATACTTAAATACGTTACACAAACTGATGTGCATACATATCTTTCCTATATACATATACATATGAAAAGGTTACAGTGTAATCCATTAGTAATAACCGCTGTACATAGTATTCTCTACCGAGCTATACACTTCCATGTAACATTGAACAATTGAACAGTAAAAGTAAAACAAAGAACAGCTTGTAATTATCCTGTATTTATTTTTTATTAATTTAAACTGACCAAATGTAGCCAAATATTCATTCACTATCACATATACCCGAAAAATGGACATGCATATACCCGCAAATACAAAAATCATAACCAGGATGCTGTTGTTTTACTGTACTACAACAACAAATATGTAGAAGACAATTAAATGACGATAACACATACATAGCTCAATGTTTCAATGGAAGAGGAAAATTTTAAAAAAGTTATGTGATCAGATATTTTTCAGTCTCACTTGTGTTATATAAGCATAAATATACATAGTTTTGTTTTTTATTCTAATTGAGACTGAATAAAAGAATTTGAAAAATCTCCTGATATTTTTGTTTTAAATTTCTGTATTACATTTTCAACAATTCAACTTTATCAAGTGTTGGTTTGCGGGGAATTGGTTGGTTACAGCTTTGACCACGAGTTGATATCAGTTAAAGAACTGTTGGAAAACCAACAGGAAGTACTAGACAGCAGTTTCGTCTTAGTGTGGGATTCTTCATCAATACGTATCCATCGGAGTTTGGAACTAGGACCTTCCGGTTACGAGACGAGCTCGTAGACCACGTCAGCCATGAGGATAACTCCATTATGGATAAAATGTTATTTTGATAAATCACACAGTGTTATACAGTAACACTTACTGATGATGTTTCAAGCACAAATTATTGCTCATAATCACATCAAGGTATTCACACAACTTTCTTGTTTCATTTATATACATGAGTAAAAATTGATGATTAGACATTTGAATAAAATCAGTATAAGATAAAGTACATTCGGAAATAATATTAATGTTATCAATAAAATACTATAAGATGGGAAATAAGATGTTTTTTATAGTAAAATAAGGTAAACTGCACACTAGCGTTTATAAAAAACCAACACATTCTAATAGATATTTAGACTTTAATTCATCTCATCCGTTAACTGTTAAGGCAGGTTTAGTTAATTGTCTAGCAAACAGGACAGTAGCACTAAGTAGCACAAAAAATGATCTAAATGATGAAATAAAATAGATAAAGGAAGTGTCAAGTAACTATCCTATAAAATTCATTAGGAAGATCAGAAAAGGTCAAAAGCAAAATAAAAATAATGGGGAAACTAATTATGGTAACATAAATAAGAAAGAATATAAGGCATCTACAGTAGTTTCACCATATAAGGAGGGAACATCTGAGACCCTACGTAGGATTCTCAATAAAGCAGGAATTAGGGTGGCATTCAAACCTACAAATCACTCAGGCAGGACAAGCTCTGTAGGTTAAAGGACCCTGTATTGACCCAATTAGACAAAATAATATAATTTAAAAAATACCTTGCAATAACTGTGAGTTAGGTCAACTACATAGGTCAAACTAGTAGGTAGGGGGTAGTCAGATTGTCGGAACATAAGCATTTAGCTAAGGTTAGAATGGTCGACCAGGAGAAGATAAGTAATTTAGAAAAAAGCTCAGCAATCGCACTGCATACTTTAACACATAATCACACAATAGGGTGGGTGGGACAGAGTCAAAATTCTAAAAAGTAATCTATGTAGGTGGAGATAGAGTGAGATTGATTACTGAATCCTTGTTCATCGAGTCTACACCCAACACATGCAGTAGAAGTGACTCAATACAAATACCAGAGGTATGGAAGATATTATTACCAGTCAAATCGGAGAATAATAAGCAATGTTAAAATTTGTTTTATTTCAGTTCACATTGTAACATTCTAAAAAGTTATTTATTTATTTATTTTACTATAAAAAACATCTTATTTCCCATCTTATAGTATTTTATTGATAACATTAATATTATCTCCGAATGTACTTTATCTAATATTGATTTTATTCAAATGTCTAATCAATTTCACTCATGTATATAAATGATGCAAGAAAGTTGTGTGAATACCTTGATGTGATAATGAGCAATGGTTTGTGCTCGAAACATCATCAGTAAGTGTTACTGTATAACACTGTGTGATTTTATCAAAATAACATTTTATCCATAATGGAGTTATACTCTACCACAGTGGCCAAGTTTTATCCTTATATCAACAACCAAGAGGATAGTTAGTCGCCTATGACACTGGCTGGCTGTTGCGCTAAATTTACACCATGAATTGGCACAATCTGGGATTCTTGAGACATTGGGTTGGGTCCTGGTGGTTGAGTGGTCTACCAGCTTGGCTTGTAATCAGAAGTTCCTGGGTTCGAACCTCAGTGGGTGCGTTCTGTCCCAAACTAGGATGAGACAGCTGTTCACTACTCCTTGTTGGTTTTCCAATGGTTCCCTAACCGATTTCACTTTGTGATCGAACCTGTAATTCAACTTTAATATTATGAAAAGAAATTTGACAACATACAGTAAGAGAAAAGTGTAAAAGCGATGGTCACGACAACTAATTAAGTAACTGTCAATATATAAGAAGGTGGCTTAATGTGGCGGAGACATTTTACCTTCCCGGGTTCACACACTTTCGTAGTTCACTAACGGTTAATGGTACACCAGAAGACTAAGAATCTGTAAGAATAGAGGGAAGAGAAAGAATATATTCATATGAGTATTTATAAAAGTCAGTGTTTATCTGGTTAACTATCCATTCATAAATCCCTCATTTCAATGAGTCAATTAGTGTAGGAATAGTAAACAAACGACTGTCAATAGGCTATCTTTATCACTCACTACAACAAATAAAATTCAAACATGATAAAGGCGCTCAAAACTGAATTGACTCATTCAAAGAAATGGTGAATAGTATGATCAATCAATTCAAGCCATCTGGGTATAATCATCCTTTGAAATTTGTCAACTTCATTATAAATATCACTGTCAGAATTGTTTGCAACGATCCCAGCTGACGAATCAATCACTTCAGAATTTTCAGATTTTCGAGAGAAGTTAATTGCGATCTCAGTTACCCGATAAGGGAAATAGTAACTATTTACTTTCTATTCAAAGTGTTCATTTGTTTCACATTCTGTTAATCACCAAAACTTTTAGTCTCACTTCCACACACTTAAATTTAAAATCTGTATATCATTCTCCTATAAAGACAATCATGAAATATGCAGAAGAAAATGAAGGTTGAACTGGATACATACTGAGGAGACCACTGAGTGATATCACGTGCTGTCAGCCGGAACCCTAATCGAAAGGACGAATTGGGCATGAATCCAAGGGGGACATGAAGAAGATAGTGTGAGCAGATGACAGGTCACGGGCAATTGTGGAGACAGTTAACGAGGAGTTCAGGGAACAACAGGAAATGGAGATGTGCTGTTGAAGCTCTGTGCTCCACTTGGAACCCAAGGGGATAATAATAATGTAACATTTACCAGTGTTGTACTGTTAGTAATAATATATGGTAGCTGAGATATGAATACAGTTCGGGATGATAACTTTAGGAAACCAAAAACAATTGATTCAGAGAAAAGAAAAAGTCCCTGTCAAGGAATATGAACATTGAACGTTGGTTCACTGACCTTGGTCACCATTGGCGGGCAAATCGAAGGCGCGAATGGTCCGATCACGTGCAAGTTTGAAGACGGCAGAAGAACACGAATAAAAGTACTTTATAACTACATTTGTACTAAACATTTGTTTGTAGACTTGTATACATCTTGCTTTAATTGCCAAACAATATAATTTCGTTCAAAGAATACTGGTGTTTTGAAGTTAAAGTCGAGAAAATACAGTCATTATCGGTTCCGAGCGTATTCGTTACAATAGGAACTTAGGGCTAAGTTCCTTGACAGTCCCTTTTCAAAAAATTTAACATCAAGCTGTACAGTCGTATTTGACATGTTTTTTTTATTGATAACGTGAACTGTCATGTATTTCTTCAGCCTCTTTCTTTAGCGTTATCTATGAGGCGAAAAAATAACCTGCACAAATCGTTAATTTTTCTAGTCGACCATTGCTGTTCAGTAATCCGAAGGATAAGATCCTGCAGTTGATCAACTCTATGAGCATTTATCAATACACCTTCTCGTGTGGAGCTAAGTATATCCGTCGTCCAATTGGGGTTTTTTTTCCAGAAGGGTACAGGAACACTATCCTGCATGGTTAATAAGAGGTGGAAGAGGGGCTATAAGAAGCACAGTGAGTGAATAACTGGTCACCTTACCTCTACAGCCTTTTCTTTTCAAGTACTCAACATGGCGCAAAATACTGCTTCCCAAATCATTTGTATTGCTGAAGATTTAGCCGTCTAAGTAAATAAGCCCCGTAAAAACGGAAGGCTGCGCCTTAGGCCAGCACCCCTTGGTCTCTGTAAAAAGGCAACAGCACTTTGCTAATGTAAATTCAAAGCTCAAGACTGAAGGCATATGTTCCACTCGGAACACAGAAGACTGACTAACTGACTGGTCTAAACGCACAAATTTGCACAGATGTGCAGCACACAATCCCTCCAGTTAACACACAAAGCAAGAGAAGAGAGTAAAGCGACATTCAAAAGAGAGAGATTGTGAAAAGAAATATGAGGCAGAGTAGTAATATGCAAAAACAATAGAATATTATCGTATATAATAAATCACAAAGGGTGAATGCATCTTACCCAGAAATCGAGAACGGTTTTTAGACAGCCCTATCATCAATTGTCTCAAGTCTTCATTAGTTTTTACCATCCCGAGGACCCCTACTAGGCAGTCAGGCAGTCCACGCCTTCCGAAGTGACTGCCTCAAACTATCTGTTGTCGATTTCATTGACTGATGGAGCTATGTTTTCATTTGACCACAACTAGTTAACTCTTTTCTAATCTGATCCATCTTATGTCAGCAGTTAACATTGTCCATCGTTGAGGAAGGAGGTCGATGGCTAGGGGTGCACGCGTGACACATGTCCTAACCATCTCAATCGATGCAGCTGCTTCACAACCTCGTCAATTGACTACCCCTCCAACTTAACCAGCACTCCACCGAAGCTTAAACTTAATATTACTCACCCTATTATGCTACCTAACACGGGAGACAGGACGCAAGCACCTATGATCAAAGACAGCTAGCCGGCCTTTTCATGTCTTCCACTTTCAATGGCCATGTCTCACTCACAGCCATAAAGGAGGATACAGCGAACTGCTGAGCAGTACACACGCCCATTGGTCGACAGCCAGTATGATAAGAAGAATAAAACAATAGTAATTAATAATGCTAAGGGTGTATTTTGAGTAAACTTTTATTTAAACAAACTGGATAGAAAAATAAAGTAGGAACAGTGGTTTAAAAATATTTCGAAATCAATCCTTTTAATGTACATATAAGTAATATGTGTAGGCCTGTACAAACAGAAACTTATGTCATACAAATGTATAACTAAAAGAATATAATCTGTAAAAAGACGATTTATTGTGCATATCGCATAATTTGCTTCAAATCTTATTGAAATATTTATTATTGTACATAACTGGAATTGAAAAATAACAAAAAGCCAGATTTGTTCAAATCTTTTGATGACAACTTCTTTAAAACATGATAATATCTATAAATATATGTACAAAATTGTGAGATCTGCATACAAGTATGAAAAACGGGAAGGGGGGGTCAGTCTTCATCGTCTGAATCAGCAACAAGTACAGTATGACCACCGACTGTAGATGTCTGATCCATTAGAGTTGAATTTAATATGGTTGTTTTCGATGCTAATATTGATGTTCCTGTTGTTCCTATTGTTGTATTTGTTGTGGTTGTCATAGCTCTCTGTTCCAACAAATTGGTACGACCAAGTACAGTTGTGTTTGTATTATCTCCAACACCGCCACCACCAAATGTACTAAAACTGTCCTTACCTTGGAAGTTTGAAAATAGAGCTGAACGGACCTAAAGCGTTTAACAAAGAAGGAACACCTTGTGTAGTTAGGCTTTAGTTGAATAAAAATGAGAACAACCACTGAAACCGAGTAGTGAAAAGAGAAAGAAATCAGACTAGTAGCATTTCATTTCCGATGATCACGTTTATAAACAACACATGCGCTGAGAATAAAGACAATACTAAGAGAAATAAGAACATCTGGAATTGTAAGGTACTCAACACACTACTACTGCTATAACAATCATTTCCTCTATCATAATTTGTAAATCACTTCGAATTTGGTTAAGTACTAGACTAGCAATAGGTGCTTAAGTTCCTCAGGATGCTGAAGACTATTAGTGATATGCCTCGAAATCGTTGTAAACGGCGCAGAAGCATTTACTCTTTGTAATTTCTCACATCGATTAAACCCACACGTTTTTTTGCATGTTACGATTTGTTCTCCCGCACATATATCCTGAGTATAGTTCTCTTAAAGCCCTACTTTCTGTCTTTTCCCTACCTGTGTGAGCTACATGGAGTGGTACAGCTTGAAGTGCTCCACTTCTGTGTAAAGTTCTATGTTGAAACTCAATCAGTCAGCAATAGGCGGAACCGCCACTCGAACTCCAGACGACCTATTGAGCTTAGAACAGAGACTTGATACTATTAGTTCTCAAATAATAAAAGCGGCTTATCGCCATCACTACACAAGTAATACATAAAACCTAAAAACCGATAGAGTTTTATTGCTGGAATAGATTAAACAAATAACCGTGTAGTTTTCAAATATACGACTTCAAGTAAGTTCAACGTACGCCTAGTCATCGCCTTCCTCGATGGGCAATGTAAGCTGATATAGAGTCAGGCTGGAAAAGAGCTAGCGGCGGTCAAACGAAAACATGGCACCAGTCAATGAAATCTACAACAGTTAGTCTAGGCCACGTAGGGTGGTGTAGACTTCCTGGTTGGGGTCCTCGGGACGGTAAAAACCAATGGTTGGAAACAATTGGTGATATGGCTCAAAATCGTTCTCAATGGCTGTTGCAGATGCATCCACTCATTGTGACTAATGATTTCCAATGAAACTTTTGTTTTTCGTTAATACTATTCCTTTGTCTTACACCTCTGTTTACTGTCCATACTATGCATTTCTCCTACTTTCTTCTCTTCCTTTGTGTGCTACAAGGAGGGAGTGTGGCGACTTGAACTGCTACACATATGTGCAAAGTTCTATGTCGAAAACAGACAGACCAACATCAGTTAGAGAGATTACTGAAGGCCAGGGAGCATTGGGCAATTGTTTCGTCCTAGTCCGAAACTCGTCATCAGACCGCACCCACGAATCCGGGCCCTTCAGGTTACAAGAACCAAGCTCGTTGACTATTCAGTCATTCCAGCGGAAATTCAATGACTCGTGAATTCGAACTTCGTCAATTCGTGATGTGGCGTTACCCTCACCCTCACAAGTGCCTTCAATGAGCATCCACTTCACCTTGAAATAGTGGAGTTTTTTTTGTCGTAAGCAGTTAGGAACAGTCTTCATCCCATACAACAACACTGGGGCACTCAACATAACTAGGTAGGTATGCGAACCATTGCAAATTTACAAATTACACCGAACGTAACGTACTCTACTCTACTCTACTTGGCAACTGCGTCAAACATAAGATGTATTGGAAGTCGTAGGAAAGAGAATAAACGTAATTATGATTGAATTGTACGGTCAAAAAGCTATTAATTAATTTTTTTTAATGATAAAGACTTGTAAATCAAATTCTCAATTTGCAATTTACACCAGTTCAAGGAGAAGAAATTTCACCAGAGTTTCCTTTCGAAGTTGAAATTGTTCAGAACATAACAAGGGATCTGCTTCATACTATAAACGGTAATCAAGGAAATAAGTAAATTTTCATAGAACTACATATTACTACTGATTGATTAATACCAGTAGTTGGATACCACTCAAATCAACCAGTAGTGCTTCTTAGCCTGACTGGTTTCAATGCACAACTTTGCACAGATATGCAGCAGATCCAATTGCCACACTCCCTTCATGTAGCACACAAACCAAAAGGAGACAGTAAAGAGATTCAAAAGAGAGAGAGAGAGATAATAAACAGAAATGTGAAGCGAAAATAGTAATATGGAAGAAGAATATGACTTTATTGGGTGTGATAAATCACAAAGAGTGAATGCATCTTTCCAAGCCATTGAGAACGATTTTCAGCCAGCCATATCACCAACTGTCTCCAACCACTATTGCTTCTTACCATCAGACGTGGCTGGCTTAAACTAACTGTTGTCGATTTCACTGACTGATGAGGCCATGTCTTCGTTTGCCCACCATTAGGTAACTCTTTTCTAATCTGATCCATCTTATGTCAGCAGTTAACATTGTCCATCGTTGAGGAAGGAGGTCGATGGCTAGGGGTGCACGCGTGACACATGTCCTAACCATCTCAATCGATGCAGCTGCTTCACAACCTCGTCAATTGACTACCCCTCCAACTTAACCAGCACTCCACCGAAGCTTAAACTTAATATTACTCACCCTATTATACCACCTAACACGGGAGACAGAACGCAAGCACCTATGATCAAAGACAGCTAGCCGGCCTTTTCATGTCTTCCACTTTCAATGGCCATGTCTCACTCACAGCCATAAAGGAGGACACAGCGAACTGCTGAGCAGTACACACGCCCATTGGTCGACAGCCAGTATGATAAGAAGAATAAAACAATAGTAATTAATAATGCTAAGGGTGTATTTTGAGTAAACTTTTATTTAAACAAACTGGATAGAAAAATAAAGTAGGAACAGTGGTTTAAAAATATTTCGAAATCAATCCTTTTAATGTACATATAAGTAATATGTGTAGGCCTGTACAAACAGAAACTTATGTCATACAAATGTATGACTAAAAGAATATAATCTGTAAAAAGACGATTTATTGTGCATTTCGCATAATTTGCTTCAAATCTTATTGAAATATTTATTATTGTACATTACTGGAATTTAAAAATAAAAAAAGCCAGATTTGTTCAAATCTTTTGATGACAACTTCTTTAAAACATGATAATATCTATAAATATATGTACAAAATTGTGAGATCTGCATACAAGTATGAAAAACGGGGGGGGGGGGGTCAGTCTTCATCGTCTGAGTCAGCAACAAGTACAGTATGACCACCGACTGTAGATGTCTGATCCATTAGAGTTGAATTTAATATGGTTGTTTTCGATGCTAATATTGATGTTCCTGTTTTTCCTATTGTTGTATTTGATGTGGTTGTCATAGCTCTCTGTTCCAACAAATTGGTACGACCAAGTACAGTTGTGTTTGTATTATCTCCAACACCGCCACCACCAAATGTACTAAAACTGTCTTTACCTTGGAAGTTTGAAAAAAGAGCTGAACGGACCTAAAATGTTTAACAAAGAAGGAACACCTTGTGTAGTTAGGCTTTAGTTGAATAAAAATGAGAACAACCACTGAAACCGAGTAGTTAAAAGAGAAAGAAATCAGACTAGTAGCATTTCATTTCCGATGATCACGTTTATAAACAACACATGCGCTGAGAATAAAGACAATACTAAGAGAAATAAGAACATCTGGAATTGTAAGGTATTCAACACACTACTACTGCTATAACTATCATTTCCTCTATCATAATTTGTAAATCACTTCAAATTTGGTTAAGCACTAGATTAGCAATAGGTGCTTAATTTCCTCAGTATGCTGAAAACTATTAGTGATATGCCTCGAAATCGTTGTAAATGGCGCAGAAGCATTTACTCTTTGTAATCTCTCATATCGATTAAACCCACACGTTTTTTTCCATGTTACTATTTGTTCTCCCGCATATATCTCCTAAGTATAGTTCTCTTAAAGCCCTACTTTCTGTCTTTTCCCTACCTGTGTGTGCTACATGGAGTGGTACAGCTTGAACTGCTCCACTTCTGTGTAAAGTTCTATGTTGAAACTCAATCAGTCAGCAATAGGCGGAACCGCCACTCGAACTCCAGACCACCTATTGAGCTTGGAACAGAGACTTGATACTATTAGTTCTCAAATAATAAAAGCGGCTTATCGCCATCACTACACAAGTAATACATAAAACCTAAAAACCGATAGAGTTTTATTGCTGGCATAGACTAAACAAATAACCGTGTAGTTTTCAAATATACGACTTAAAGTAAGTTCAACGTACGCCTAGTCATCGCCTTCCTCGATGGGCAATGTAAGCTGATATAGAGTCAGGCTGGAAAAGAGCTAGCGGCGGTCAAACGAAAACATGGCACCAGTCAATGAAATCTACAACAGTTAGTCTAGGCCACGTAGGGTGGTGTAGACTTCCTGGTTGGGGTCCTCGGGACGGTAAAAACCAATGGTTGGAAACAATTGGTGATATGGCTCAAAATCGTTCTCAATGGCTGTTGCAGATGCATCCACTCATTGTGACTAATGATTTCCAATGAAACTTTTGTTTTTCGTTAATACTATTCCTTTGTCTTACACCTCTGTTTACTGTCCATACTATGCATTTCTCCTACTTTCTTCTCTTCCTTTGTGTGCTACAAGGAGGGAGTGTGGCGACTTGAACTGCTACACATATGTGCAAAGTTCTATGTCGAAAACAGACAGACCAACATCAGTTAGAGAGATTACTGAAAGCCAGGGAGCATTGGGCAATTGTTTCGTCCTAGTCCGAAACTCGTCATCAGACCACACCCACGAACCCGGGCCCTTCAGGTTACAAGAACCAAGCTCGTTGACCATTCAGTCATTCCAGCCGAAATTCAATGACCCGTGAATTCTAACTTCGTCAATTCGTGATGTGGCGTTACCCTCACCCTCACAAGTGCCTTCAATGAGCATCCACTTCACCTTGAAATAGTGGAGTTTTTTTTGTCGTAAGCAGTTAGGAACAGTCTTCATCACATACAACAACACTGGGGCACTCAACATAACTAGGTAGGTATGCGAACCATTGCAAATTTACAACTTACACCGAACGTAACGTACTCTACTCTACTCTACTTGGCAACTGTGTCAAACATAAGATGTATTGAAAATCGTAGGAAAGAGAACAAACGTAATTATGATTGAATTGTACGGTCAAAAAGCTATTACTTAATTTTTTTTAATGATAAAGACTTGTAAATCAAATTCTCAATTTGCAATTTACACCAGTTCAAGGAGAAGAAATTTCACCAGAGTTTCCTTTCGAAGTTGAAATTATTCAGATCACAACATGTGATCTGCTTGATACTATAAACGGTAATCAAGGAAACAAGCAAATTTTCATAGAACTGCATACTACTACTGATTGATTGATATGAGTAGTTGGATACCACTCAAATCAACCAGTAGTGCTTCTTAGCCTGACTGGTTTCAATGCACAACTTTGCACAGATATGCAGCAGATCCAATTGCCACACTCCCTTCATGTAGCACACAAACCAAAAGAAGACAGTAAAGAGATTCAAAAGAGAGAGAGAGAGATAATAAACAGAAATGTGAAGCGAAAATAGTAATATGGAAGAAGAATATGACTTTATTGGATGTGATAAATCACAAAGAGTGAATGCATCTTTCCAAGCCATTGAGAACGATTTTCAGCCAGCCATATCACCAACTGTCTCCAACCATTATTGCTTCTTACCATCAGACGTGGCTGGCTTAAACTAACTGTTGTGGATTTCATTGACTGATGAGGCCATGTCTTCGTTTGACCACCACTAGGTAACTCTTTTCCAACTGGATCCATCCTATGTCAGTCAGCTTACATTGTCCGTCGTCGAGGAAGGAAATCGATGGCTAGGAGTGCATGCGTAACACATGTCCTAACCATCTCAATCGATGCAGCTGCTTCACAATCTCGTCGAATCATCTCCCCTCCCACTTACCTAGCACTCCACTGAAACTTAACCTCAATATTACTCACCCTATTATACCACTTAACACGGGAGATAGAACGCAGACACCTATGATCAAAGACAGCTAGCCGGCCTTTTCATGTCTTCCACTTTCAATGGCCATGTCTCACTCAGAGCTATAAAGGAGGACAGAGTAAACTGCTGAGCTTCTTATCCGGACGGTCGTTTCGCTAGTTTGGGGTATATTATCACCATCAGAATTCAATTCAAATCGTGTTTAAAATACTCTAAAATTTTCAGAAGAATATACTTTTCATACCAACTGAGTGCTCCTGACTTAACAATTGTATTTAAACAGTTTACACAAATGTATGAAATGCAGTCTCTTTATTTAGAAACTAGTAATGCTTATTAAATAGATATACTGGAACAATTTATTTTAATAGATATTTTTAAATAATACATATATATGTATATAACATTACTGATACAAAAACATAAATTTATCTTTTGTTAACATCATCATATGTGATCAACATACCTTCTTAAGTGGCGTTTCACTTTGAGAATCACGACTGTGATGTGAACTAGGAAACTGAAATTTTAAAAAAACACGCAACAAGGATAAAAATTTTCCCCAAAAGAATACAATGAGATTTTGAAGCTTGAAGAGGAAGTTGTTCAACTACAAAGTAAAATAACGTCACCGCGCTACTCAATGCAACAAGATATCCCCCCACCCCTAAAATAAAACAATCTTCAATTCGAACCGAACTACGATTAATTAATTATTTTCATTGTAAAGGTACTACTGATGAATGTGATTTTAGTCGACTCCTATATCTCTGGAGTTTACTTGCCACTATAGCGAAAGGTTTCCCAAGCTGAAAGTTCGCGCTCATGATTTAGTTCTTTTAGTTAAAAACACTGATAAAATTTAGTCTTCTGAAAAAATTGAAGAAAAACCTGAGCACGTTCGGCATGTGATTTGCCTCTATCATATGTAATATGATGTTACAGGAGTGACCTTCACCTTTAACGGTAGAACACAGAGGTAACTGGTAGCAGAATTGTCCACTAGGTAAAATTACATACAACTCTGAAGCAATCTCTCAGTCAATCCTCTCTGTATCTTCTCCAGTAGATATTACTGTATAACACTGTGTGACTTTATTAAAATAAATTTTATGCATAATGAAATTCTTCTCCAGTGCAGTAGAAGTAGTGGTAGTCTAGTGATCAGCAGTGTATTGTTGTTCAGATTATGGAATTTGTGGGGATTTCGGCTTAATTCATTGGGTGGCCATTAAATCGCGTCCCAGAGGCTGAGTGGTATATAAGCTTGCCTTGTAACCGGAAGGTCCTGGGTTCGAAACCCAGTGGGTGCATACTGCCGATGAGTCCCAAACTAGGGCGAAACATCTATCTAGTACTTTCTTGAAAATTAATTTCAACTGTTAGGTTTTCGTCATGAACCAACTCATCATTCAGAGAGATCATTGATAACAAGGGAACACTGGACAACCGTTTCGTCTTGTTCTGGGACTCTTCACCAGTGCACACCCATGACCCAGTCAAGGATAGAACCCGAGCCCATTGCCCATGAATTCTCAACACAGCTTCGGAGCCATTAATGAGCTGGATATTGATATCTAGATTATGCGATCTGGATTATTTCAATTGTTGGAGTTAGAATTCATGGGTCATTGAATCCCAACCTCAAGTGGCTGAATGATGGGTTTGTGGGTGCGCACAGCCAAAGGGTCTCAAACTAGGATGAAACAACTGATCGGTACTCCCTGGTTTTTAATAGTCTCTGTAACAGTAAAAACAAAGACAAATCAAGTAGTATCTCGGTGACAATAGTTACTAATTAGAAGAAAATAAAGTGCATAGTCCACTTCAATAGGCTAGGAAGCTCACTTACAGAATGCTTCATTTTCTCACTTGTAGGCTGTTTATTTGTTAAAGTCATATTTACATCTGCTTGAATAATTTGTGTAGGAAATTCATTTGCTTGTGATAACAGACATCTACTGGAGGAAAGAGAATTTGGATTTCTTTTTGTGTTCACCAATACAGTATCATCATTTTGAATGCTAAGAGAAAAGGAAATAACTATTATGACTAATAGTAAAACTGTTATGAAGAAAAATAGACAGAAATTAGAAAGTAAGAGCTGCATTTCTAATTAATTAATAATATTTCAAGTCTGTTATCTATTACATTAATTTTGAACATGATTACAGTGTGTAACAAGCATACACACCGGATCCTGTTTTCCCTTAAAATTGTCTGCAATTAAAATGCTAATTAAAAGCAATGGCGTAGATCCTCCTACCGGTAGCAATAATTATGAAAATATTTCCATACCAGAATATCACAATCTGGTAACGTTTCTGACTGCAGCACTGGATAACACAGCTTCGAATATCAGGAGAGATATGAGTTCTTTCAAGATTGCAGATACGCCTTGCTGACTGACTGATGAATACCAACAAGCATGAAACTTAAGCCGAACACTTTCTGCTGACTGCTTCTAACCATCTAATAACAACAAGTCACACTGCACCGTGATGCCAAGTCGCCTAGCATGGTGGCCACATTACAAACTTGACTGTCAGAATTCAGTCTGCACTAAAAAAGGGACCATAGGCATGATACTAGTTACTAACTAGTGTCTAATCAATGTTCTAAGTGCAAGTATGTTCCTGATGGGTTAACAGCTCATTAGGTCAAATATTCCAATTACAGTCAGTGAGTAATAAGATCTAATACCAACTGTTTGACATTGCTAGGTGGAACCACCAGCCTCATATAATGATTACGAATTGCAGTTTTATCTTTGCTTCACCACATTAGCCCACCTGTGAATCATATGAACATTTGATTTAAATTCTTCTCAATTCCTAACAGGTAGTCAACCGTTTTCTTAAAAAAAAAAACAGTCAACATTTACTAGTCAACAAAATTAAGTGAGCTGTATGTAGAGGTATGCTTAGCATCGCTCTTCATCTCGAAAAATCGAATGCATATAATAATTCTCAGAATTATGGGAGTACAAGCCTCCAGTGTGTGTTACTTCCAACAGAGTAACACCCGCCAATCTGTTCAAATGATGCTGAAAATGACTGGAAGAAAAGAGTGAACAATATCGCACCTATACGTCGTAAAAAATCTTTTAGGCAAAATGTTTTTTGTACATCACAATGTTTTCTTTTGTTCATTGAACAGAACAGAACTCTATTATAGAGGAGTAATGCTCAACAAATACGCTTAAGAAAATAGAACTGGATTGGATACATTTTAAGGAGACCGTTGGGTTATATCGTGTACCAGGTATACACCTCGAGTGGAACGCAAATTGAAAACGACTATTAGATAGTTGGAGGCAATCGGCAACTATCTAATATCATCCAATCAGTGTGCACCGTGATGGCGAGCTACCTAGAATGGTAGCCACATTGCAAACCTGACTGATAGAATTCAGTCTGTACCGAAGAAAGGACTAGACACACTAGTTGGGAATCCCTGGATGACATGGAAGAGATCATGTGAGCAGATGAGAGCTTATGGGCAATCACGGACCAGTTAAAGAGGACCACACAGAACAAAACAAAGTAGAGAAGTGCTGTTGAAGCCTTATGTTCCACTAGGAACCCAAGAGAATAATAATAAATACTATAAGGGATATGTGCAAATTAAAACCAACTAATTCCATTGCGTCGGTGGCACAGTGGTTAGGACGCTCGCCAACCATGCACATGGTCCGGGGTTCGATCCCCTACCGACGCCCTCCTTTGCCTCGCCAAACCAGTAATAAAAAGCCGGTAAAGAGGAAAGGTTGGGCATGAGGCTAACAACTTCATCCTGTAAAATAAACACTGCTACAGAAACTTCAAGCCTCTAGCTTGAAGCCCTATGTTCCACTGGGAAAGTTAAAGGAAAAAAATTCCATGTTCACTTACTGATGTCTATTATACGTAAATAATATTGTGGAGAATAAGACTTAAAATTGAGATCAAAGGTGATAAACTCATGTGTTTATTGTCTTAAATAAACGATTACGATAAGTTCACAGCAAATCATTACTAATCATCATATTCTTATAAAACTGACGCCTTTATTGTTGCTATTAATAAGCCTTTCATCTCCGATCACTGACTATAATGTCGAAAATATTTGGCTTGAGTACTCAAAATGTAGGCAGTTGTTGATTTAAAAATAGCAATAGATGACAATGATTTACGCCGATAATAGTGAAGCAGATGTATTCACTAGAATGTTGAATGTCTTGTTATTCTCCATATACATTCCCAAACTTGTTATTTGCTTGACAGAGTAGTAAAGTGGGAAGGAACACATTGATATCCGACTTTTGAAGGTTATGAGAAGTGAGGACACCTGTTATTGCAAACAAACTATTTTAAAATGACAGTGAAGGGTGGAAACAACTAACTCCTAACAACCTTATGACCTTAGTACACTTTGTGAACACAAACCATATGACCAACAACCCAATACACATATCTCAAAATGTGAAAATGTATTACTAGTTGTATTTAACAACTGCTACAGCAAACATCACAGGTAATATAACCTCCTTGGTAAACTAAAGTGAGTGATATTTGTAGAAATTATAAATAACCCCTTAATTTCTTGGCATAAAAATCAAGTTTACAAATAAAACTTACTTTTCGTCTGCAAATAAACTAGGAGGACGTTGCAGTGGGACAGGAGTTCTATTCAACAGTGAGTGGCGAGAAGACTCAGACTGCTGAGAACTAGGAAGTGAACATCCATCTGAAGGGAAGGTCGCTAGAACATATCGAGCACTGAGTCGTGTCTCGTGCGTACAAGCAAATATTATAGGCTTTCCTGGTCGATCACAGTATATTCTTATCATGGGAGAAATCAATTCACAAAATGGCAAAATAACCTACAAAAAGGAAATCATTTTTGCACAAAATAAAGTGAAATTAAAAGAACAAAACTAACTGCAGTGAAATTAAACAATAATTTGTTTTGTAAATACATACTTATCAAGTAAGGATAAAGCTAATTAAAGTTTGAGGATATCTACATTGTCTTACAATTACAAGGTATTTTCACGACAAGTATACAAATCAAAATAATAAGATCAAATTCTCACGAAGAAAATATACTTTTTCTAATTTGTTTCTTCTAATTTACTCCTTTGCTCTCTGAGTGCGACACAGGGCCTCAACCTTGAGCTTTGAAGATTCAGTAGCTAGCTTCAGGCCCAACCTTCTCTCTCTACTAAAATTACTACCGGTTAAGCGAGGTTCAGGAGTGCGTCGTCTGGGAGTCGAACCCCGGGCCAAAGAAGATGTGGTTGGCGAGTATTCTACCACTGAACCGCTGACGTACAAGAAAGCTTACTACTTCACAAAAATCAATGAAAACATTTCCGTAATTGCCATGCAAATACAAATTCTCTCGTTCGGATACAACACACTAGTGTGAGTCCCGAAAAAACAACATCAACGATGGAGTATATCAATTCCAAGTGTCATACAAACAACCTTAGTAGATAGAAGACTGGACAAAAAGTCGAAGGAGAATGATGTAACTAGTGCTTTTCTTTGATTTAACACAACCAAAATAGCAACTACAATAAAATTCCAAATGAGTAGTAAATATCAGAATCAATCACTGAAACGGAAATGATGAGCAAACTAAAAGTAGCTTTCAATAAGACAGCAAAAATCAAGAGCAAGAAGAAGGGGGAGGGGAATGAGACACTACATACTAGAATTATTAAAATCGTTAGCGAAATAAAACAACTGAGTATTAAACCTTTAAAAACGACTATAGTTTACACCAAATTACAGTCTGTTTCGAAAAAAAATGAGTTGCAACAGAGGAAGGGTGAACAAACAAGGCTTCTGTGCGTCACTGGAGTCTTCAATACAAACCTCAAGATTAACTTTGAAACAACAGTATGAACGAAAACAATAGATTATCCCTCACATAGAGATATAAACAAAACTGGTTGCTGTCAAGTCTGATGGAAAATAAAGTATTGAAACCAGTCAAATTTGGTATATATATATATATATATATATATATATATATATTGTTAAGCCTGGTGATACAACCCAGTCGCTTAGGCTGAAGTAGGTAAGCTGATCAGAGAACCGACCTGCTGAAAACCAACCGCTAAGGCATATAAGTCACATCACCATAGTCATCACAAAACACTGCGTAAACCGAAAAACCCGTTACTATACATCAAATAGGATTTATAATATTGTAAGACTATCCACAGCCTAGTATCTAGTCCAGGTACCACAAAAACCAGCTTTAATCTTCTTTTCGATACGCGTATGAAGTCAAAATCAAGAAATCGACTGAGAAAGTAACATTATTCCAAGATGTTTAAAATTAGGGCAGTACAAGAACTTCTAGAAACTTAGCATATGAGTGAAACTGCAGTGAAAACATACAAAAACAGATCCAACCGACATTCTAGTGAGAAAGAAAACAATTTTCTAATAACCGATCAATAATTTAAGACGGTAACGGCAACCGAAAAAAACGTAGACTATCTCTAATCTTGTTAAATAAAACGGTCAAGTCAATATAACAAAAAACCTAACTCTCATCTATATTTAGAAAAAAACAATATATGGAAAAACGCTTTCTAAATGATTTTGAATACCTGCTGTTATTCTGGAGCGCATACTTGCTGGTTGTCTCAGTTAATTATCAGCCAGTGGGTCGCTGACTTTAACTATTTCTTAACGTCATAGCATGCTATACAAAAAACCATTGCAAAAATCAGTTTATGTGTGGGTTATTCATTCAAGAATGATAAAACCACTCAGTCTGAACTTGTTTCAAATCGAAGCATAACCACAGACCAACGGATCACCTAGATTTACAAACCATAAAAGCTGATGGCGCTTGCTTCTCAATACTTACATACACATTCGAAACACTTTAACAGTCAACAGGAACGTCACACAGAAGATGAATTTGGAGAGATAAGAAAATACTATAAACATTTTTCCTACCACATATAAATATTTACAACTTATATTTAATTCATCGAAGTGTTTACCACAGCCAAATAGGGATAAACATATGATATATCCCCACCACTCTTGTTTTACAGACACACTAATCTTTAAATTACTTAACAATATTTCATATTACCGAAGCATATAACATGAATTTTTACAAAAATGCACAAAATTACCCTGAGCTCCTTTTGGCAAAATGTGATTTCACATTTTGACTTGACTATGTACACCTCAAACTCAGTAGCATTCAGAGGAATTTGCGTTGTTATCATGGAAGGATCTACAGGCATAATAAAAGGAGTTATATGTATATAGTTAGAACCTGTCTGAAACGTGTGGTTTTGGAATGTACACTCCCCATCATTCAGAATGAACATTAACTCCTCGGAAGATTGGCGAAAATTATTTACCACTTCCCCCAACAAACTAAAAGCATTATTTAAGTGGAATACCATACCGAGCAGATATAAGTAAGTGATTGGGACTACATTCCAAAGAGTAAACTGCCTCCAACTGTTCACAATCGATTATCGACATGTTATACGTCTTAACGATACCGAATTTACAGAAGTACTGCACCGTAAGGATAGTTTCCTCAGTTGATAAAAACATTTTACACTTAAGAACAGATTTCTCCAAAGCCGAAGTAAGTCTAAAAACATTGGTACATGACTGGAAATATGAGAACAACAAGAGCTTACACTACTTGGGACCTTAAAACGCTGTACAGATCCATTAGGCAAACTGCTAGCAAATTTGTCGAAAAATATTTGTTTAAAATGAATCACTGCAAACGCTGATCTTGAAGAGTTCACTGTTTTGATTTTCAACTGTAACATCTCTACAAATGATAAAAAGTTTACTTACGTCATCTGTTCCACATTCAAAGTAAATTTCATGACCGAGTTTAGCTAGCGAGTTAATACCACGGACGAGTACTAACAGCGATTTTAGCAATTAAGATGAATACCTTTTAATTCTGTTGGTTGCAAAACCACTCTCATCGTACCTTACACCGCAAGGTCATTTCGCGACAAGTCGCGCGCGACGAACATGACTATGGTTTCTTCAATGTATTTGAGAATATAGCACAAAACATATATGCAGAATAGGAACTGAAAGATTTACGAAGTGCTTACCCTTGGATGACTTTAACTGTTTCTTTTTTGATAAGATTCATTACTTAGGCCTGAATGTTTCTTGGTATAAGTTACTATTAAATGTATCACTGCTTACTTCTATAGCTGTGAATCAAAACTATCGTTTGGCTGCTATAAATAAGTAAAACCATAATTTAGAGTGCTTAGCAAATTTCCCATGTTCCGACCAACAATTCCATAGGATGAAGAGTAAACAGCCCTCAAAATTGGGAAGCACTCAATCAAACGGTAATGATAAATAATTCCCCAAAATTATTAGCCTACAACACTTACCACCCATCAGTGAATGCACACTTTCAATGTTTAAGTCGACATTTTAAGCTGAAGGCAAATGGCAAAGAATCCACATCACTTGGCTTGCCTTCGTGCTACGTTCGTTCGTCCGTGAATGATCCCTAGCTAGCCAAGCATTCGACATTGCTCTATAATTTTGATCCCAAAGCATATTTCGTATTTTGAACTATCAGTTTAGTGTCTCTATTTGTCTCTGGTCTACACATAACAAATAATGTAGAAGTTGTGTATATAGGAACTTGCGTTGGTATGCATCGCACAACGCGTAATCGTCAACACCTACTCATCTGCTAAAAGACAGATGACAGAGACAATATGTCGAAGAAACCACATCAGCTGCTCAAAAAGCGGATATTTTAATACACAATGGATTTTAGGACAACCATAACTCGTTAAAAACACTACTGTAATAAAATGGCACAATAATGTTCTCACAAGCTCATTTTTTTGTGAACACGTCTGATAATAAAAGAAACTGCAGTAATTAGGCCAATTTATGAAGAGTCAAGTCAAATAGTTGGATCCTTATATTTTAGTTATCGAGTCTCAATATATGGATGTCAGTTACTATATCACACAGTTTTATTTCCATCCCAATAATTTGGTCAAGACATCCAATAATTTCCACAGGTAAATGATAAATGTTAACATTGAAAGAAAAACACCCAAAACTCTCAGAGAAAATGCTACCACGACAACCACTTTGTTGGTTTGGAGCTTCAAATAGATATTCCATCATAATCGGCTGACCGAGATGAAGGGATAAAGGCCGATAATCCTATCATCTCAATTATGTTTTGTTTTAACAATGAATCCACGCCCTAACATTTTCCTCATTTAAAGTCTTTACCAAACCCTTTTTTCTGACTTTCGCTCAACTAAATTATTGAACCCTTACATGAGTGTATTGCTGATCTTACGCCACTATTTAAATCATAACATTTGTCTGTAGTTATAGATATATTTCTTGACTATTTCCATACATACTGACGAGCCTAGCAACGGCTCCTATTCCTTTCCATTATGTTGCCCAGTTGTGTAATGCTAAAGCGATTGATAGTTACAGCTGGAGCATTTGGAGAAACACGCAAGGTAATGGATATTTAAGTGCTACTGATATTAAGCGGTCAACTATTCATCAAGTGTGCATAATCACAAAGCGAAGAGTATGAACATATTTTACGTTGTATGCATCAACAGCTAAAGGAGGACAGTCATTATGCACTGCAGTTTGCGATTTCCGTTTAAATTCCCAACTTCACTGAAACCCTTCGCTTTCTCTTAGTTTCTTTATCATGCAACAGATATCTCGGTGATAGTTAATGGTTTGAGATATGGTAATATTGCACACCAAAAGGTGGAAAATTTAGCAAAACACACCAACTTTTGTTATTCACTACCATAGCACTGAAACATTGTCAGATAAATTCTCTAGAGCATTCTTGTAAATATTCGCATAAAAACTATTTACACGAAATCCTGTCATCAACAATTAATCTTTGAAGGAACTAAATATCATGTTGGTGAAATATGCCATACTACATCTGAACATGATTTCAAAGATATCCAGCTGTTCATATATATTCTTCCTTAATTAAACAAAACATAATTATCTCTCACTGGACTTCTGAAACTAGTTTATCAGATTAGTTATCTTATTCTTAGGTGTACTCCTACTAATTAAGAACCATTCATCAGTCAAAATAATAACAAATCACGGAAATGAGCACATTAACAAATGTTCACGGAGTCACTACAGAAATTCCCTTATTAGCTATCATCTTATAGTTTGCATTTGTCACATGCCGAACAAAACTACAACATTTTTAGCTGAACATCCATTCCGTTAATACCCTGGTGTTCGTCAGGAAGCACAAAGCGTGCAAGTCGCTTTCTCAACTTGTTTTCCTATGGCTTTCTAACTGATGACCTCAGCACATGAAATTCCAAATGTTTCGTGCATTTTTGGCTATGACACACATGCTTCTTGAGAAACTTTCTCCAGGCTGTGAGAGAGCGATTCCAGATGTTTCGTAGATCGGTCTTACTGATGATATCTCCTCTCATTTATCACGAATTTTATAGTCGTTTCCCCCTGATTATAAAGTTTGGTTGAAGCCCACTGATGGAAGCATTAGGAAGTTTGGTGTTCCACTGAATCAGAAAAGAGTGTAACTAACGAGATCTATGCATTTTGGTTTCAAAACAGGAAACGAATTAGCGAAACCAAGCTAATCCGATTCACACGTTTCCTGAGCTCATCTAAATAGTTCACCGAACCTCAGAGAGCTACACAGTTAACAGTTATATTACATCAGTTTCAGAATTGTTTAATCCTTAGTACTATTAGGCAGTAAAAAGTTCTGTCAAAAAATAGAAGTGCCTCAACAATACCGTCAGGCAAGTGCATGGACCGAAAGCTTGGCAGGCACAAAATAAATCCCACACGGAAACAACCACTGTGGAAACGCGCCTGGGAATCAATAAGAATAGTCCCGGAAAGTTGGAATAAAAACCCAGCATTCAGGAGTTGAATAAACTAAGATCCACTTCTGGAAGGCACACCAAGAGCGAGTAGACCCTCCGATCGAAACGTAGTTCTCTGAAATAAAAATCACAATAGTAATGCAGCACATTTTTGCCAACAGTTCAGGATGATATAGTAGTAAAATTAGTAAAAAAGAATAAGAATCACCAAGGATCATGATAAATGATAGGGACAGAGTACAAAAAATATGGCAACACGATAGTATGAAGTTCGGAAATATAGGCTGATAGTTGTGAAATTGGTTGAAATACTCAAAAACATATAACAGGTCAAAGGGTACTGCCAAGTACGCAAGATACAATACGGGCTCTGATGCAAGTGTATATCCTCCCAAATCAGACGTGTTTGTTCACTATGAACCCAGGACCGTTAAGAGCAACACCAGAACAGGGAAGTGATCACCCCATATGCGGAATATATTTCGGGATCAGAAGCATACAGCAGCGGCGTCTGTTCCGCTAACTGGACTGTGTGCACTAGCAACCAAATGTAACATGCCAAAAGGCGTAGACGGCAATTAACCTCAAAAAATTGTAATAACCAATGAAAATGAAACTAAGGGATTCTTGTGTGTTTAACTTTCATGCATGTTAGCCGGCAATATTGCTAGCTGCTAATTCGCTGTTGTTTAAGTTTGTTTCGAAAGTTTCTGCAAGCTCACTAGTGTCACTTTAGTAGCTTCGTACGTTTTTTGACGCCATTTTTTAGTATTTTGTTTATCTTTTAGCTGTCAGCGGACTGCTCTTCGCAGAAGTTCGGGGGTTTATGCACATGAACACGTTTTGATGACATATGGTGTCCTTTAACGTTCTTCTGTTGGTTGCTATTATTGTTGCCAGTCCAGATAACTACTTAACCTAGAAGGGCCAGGAAAAATAAGTGGCTTTCTTGTAAACGTTCACAGAATACAACCATCTACAAAACAGTCTGGTGAAAGGAGCAGAATCAATATGAATATTGGTAAGACTTATAAAGGATCGGTAAGAGTCAGAGAGTTAGGAACTGGGATTGACGTTGAATAAGCTCTGAAGTCATTGCAGAAGGTGGGCATATCATGAATTCGTCCACTTTCAGATAATAAACACTCCATATGTTTCGGAAGAACCTAAATTAAATAAGGAGGAAACACATTTGAAGTATGAAAATATGGCGCTTGCACGTGAATTTAGAAACGAAGAAAAGTCGCAAACTATCGAAAATATGTTCGAGCGTGCCATCAATGCTCAATACACCAAATCTGAATATATCGGTTGCCCTTCATTGACACACATCCGTTTCCTGTGCAGTAGATTCGCAACCACTATTGCACGCGTGAATACATGGGTAACAACTTACAGATTTATTAACATTTGAAAACGCCACTTGACACAGAGATAACGCTGCACGTTTCGTCATCGCTATCTAACTTGATGGTGTTAAGTCGAGGCTCTTATTAATCTTGGTTACATGAATGCAACATACATTTTCGTGTTATCATTTTGTGGTAACTTAAGTATCCATAAGTATTATTTGCTATGATTTAGAAAAGTAGCTCACGGTTGGCGACAATAAGGTGGTAAGATTGGCATCGAAGACCATAATTTACTATGACATTTACAATAATCATACAAAAATATTAAGTGCATAATGATGATGGATACTTGACCGAAGTTTGCGATAGTACCATAATAAATAGGGATAAAGTGTAAAGGTGGCTTGAAACTCGCCTGGGTTACTTCCCGTTCTTCAAGTCTGTCTACCATCCGGTCGAATTTTGATAATACTAATTTCTATACTCCCACCGACTGTTTTGGAACAGCTGTCAGAAAGTGTAACCTGTGAAAAGTAGTGGCGCAGATGACAATCGTGGTTGACTCGCCAGAATTATTCCTGAAGAGCGGTTCTTGATGTGAAACACGACGAAGTGACACTGGACGAGTCATAGGATGATGATATAGAGTGAGGAAGGGCTAAGTTAACATAGAACAGGCCCACAGATTCCTGGAGATCACTTATTTAGACTGCTTGCACAGGTTCCAAATCGCTTCCAGTTGACTTCGA